CTAGGCTACCCGACCGCCCCTAAAATGAAACAAACAAGAAATGATTAATCGATGGTGATGTATATAAGTGTTGGAACTTCAGTTTGTAGTGTTTCAGTGGCAGTTTTCAGCCTAGTAAGGTTTCGATGACGTTTGTATTATTTTATTCTTTCTTTTGAACTGCAGTGCATATCTGATAACGGAACATATTTCCTACTGATGTAGATGGGCTAGATACTATTGAAGTTGCACACTAAGATTATGTTTGGACATTTGCAATCAGTCACGTCAAATGTCATAATTCCGTTTGTTTCAAGTTTCTTGTTACAGAATTAATGATCTTTTGTGTGACGAAACCAATCCTTTGCATCTGTTCAGTTGTGCAGCCATTACAACAGGGTCTTTACTTATGCAACGAGGAACCGTCTAAAGTATGGGGGCAGCGCAGGAGCCTAGTGGTTAAAGCGTTCGCTCGTGACGCCGAAGAACTAACTTCGATTCACCACATGGGTACAATGTGCGAAGACCATTTCCGGTGTCCCCCGCCCGGAATGTGCTGGAATATTGCTGGAAGTTGCATAAAACCATATTCCTTTTGGTCTGTTGTTGCTATTCCTGATGCCTTTATATCTAATATCCCATGTTCAAACTGAAATTGGTGATATTTAAGACAGATATAATGTTTTCAATTAGCTTCAGATTGCATATCTTTAATGTTTTTGCCATCTCGTTATTACTCTGTACATCGCACTTATGAAAAAATAGCAGTTATGCAAATCATGATTATTTTGTGAATTGTCAGCATGAACGAAGAACAAGGTTATATCAGGGGTATCGGTCCCGAGTGAACTAATTTTGTAATATTAATGATGGGATGAGCAGCAATGAAAACGAAGGAATAATTGACCTGACCTAGCCAATCAATACGAAGCAAATAATGAAAACGATGCAGACAGACAGATTGTTTATTTGAGTCTCACCTCACAAAAATATTTACATAAATACATATAAAAGGACATAAAAGTGAGCCACCCGGTAAGGGTTACGAGAGACTTAAAATATATCACAGTATATACAGCATAAATATATTGGTGTAAAAGGGGTATGTAAAATATATTACCCGTAACTAGCCATATAAAATATTTGTTCTTCGTTGGAGAATTAAAAAGCAGGTTTTAGCTGTAAAATATACATAATATTTAAAAAGTACAATAAGTTTATCAGTATTGCATAACTCTAGATAGCTAAACTGACCTTTTCGTATAAACTTTCACACAAATCATCGTACACAGGGCAATCCAGTAATACATGACAGTCGTCTTCAATACTTTCCTTACACTGAAAACACACTCTTTCATTCACATTCATATTCGTATATCTGCCTGTTTCCAACTTTAGAGGAGCAGTACCTGATCTAAATTTGGAGAAGGCAGAGCGGTAAGAACGAGGCATATACATACTTACATAACTTTCACACCCATACCCACCTTTAAACATTCTATACGTACGTAATTTATTACCACCTGTTCTTCCGCCAGGCTTGCATAACAGTTCATTCCAATCAGACACATACTTTCCCATGCATATATCTTGCACACGTACAACTACACTTTTCACGCTAACATTCTCAGAAATATTCAGACCCCTTTCGTTCAGCTTTGACCTTACGAAAATTCCAGTTTTTCACACGTCCACCAGCATACCATTCAGACCACATAAAAACGTACTTATTTAATCTGAGGGACGTTTTAGTAAAACGACAATACTGTCTAACAATACACATCCACTGTCTAACTATCGGAGGAATCCATCCCATATCTCCATTAACAGCAACATTTGGAGCGTATTTACCCAACCCCAAGAAAAATCTCAAAGCACGATGGTGAACGGCATTTACAGAAGAAATTTCACAATGACCCCTGATAGATGCCCCATAACTCAAGACTGGCCAAACCATCGTATCATACAAATTGGAATAAGTAGTGCATTGCATACCTCAAATTGCCTAATTTTTACATATAAGAAGACCTAATGCTCTGTTAGCCGATTTAGCTGCTGCTTTTGCCATAGCATTGCAGTCAAGATGTTCCGTGTGCAGTAGGCCTAGATAATTATAACAATCAACAATGGCTAAAACAGAGTTACCAATATAAAAAAAGCTGTTGTTCTTTGAACGCTTACATTTCTAAAGTGTACAATCTTGGACTTGTCATTATTAATAAGGATACTATTATCAACACACCATGTATTCATAACATGTAATAGACGATTCAAATCATCTGCCGATTCTGCAAGTAAAATAAGGTCATTAGCATATGCTAAGGCTGCAATAGTAATATCATCAACACAAATACCAATACCAGTTTCATTTAGCTTGTCAAGCAAATCATTAATAAAAAAAGTTAGACAGAATTGGCGAGCGTAAACATCCTTGTTTTAAACCCCGATTAACATTAAACCAGGGTGTAAGCATACCATTTATATGTACGCTGCATTTCACATTATCATATAAAGATTGAAGTGCTAGAAACATTTCCCCTTTCACACCAATGTTACATAATATTTCCCACAGCACACCTCAGTTAATGCTATCATACGCTTTATGAAAGTCCATAAAAGCATAAAAGGTGTCTTTTTTAAATACATTTTCCAGTTTCAATAAAAGATTAAACAGAGTGAATATGATCCGTAGTTGATCCATGCTTCCGGAATCCATTTTGTGCATCATTTAGAGCTCCTGTGCTTTCAGCCAAAGATTGCAGACGGTTATTCAATATATTACAAAATAATCTGTACATAGAATTGGTGAGGGTCAAACCTCTATATGATAAAGGATCCGCAGGATCTAAAGTAGAACACTTTGCTATGGGGTTAATTATGCTCTTTAACCACAATGCAGGGATTTTCCCTGTGCTAAAACATATATTAAAGATATTGTGCATCGCCGAAATAACATTGGGTGAATTAAGACATTCCATCGGAATACCGACAACACCAGGAGCCTTGCCACATTGGCTTCCAACAACCGCTCTGGTTACTTCAAAGAGAGTAATTTTAGCGTCGAACAATGTATATGTGTCACCATTCTCACTGTCACACTTAACGTTCTGCATCCCGACGTCACCATTTAGCAGTTTACAATAAACATTCTTCCACTTATCTAGTACATCACTCCATTTGTCAGACACATTTCCATCCTCTAAAACCACTCTCATGGGGATCTGTCTTCGTCTCTCCCCACCTACCCCAATCTTACCAATCTTCTTCCAGAACTCTCAATCATTATCCTCACACATTTCATCCAACCGTTTACTTTCCCCTATCGCATACATTCGTTTAGCAATTTGCACTGTTTTGTCAAAATGTTTTCGCTTTTTAACAAAACTATGTTTCAGAAACATCCTCTCATTACCAGGGCGTTTACATTAACACCACTTTCTCTCTGCCTCGCACATGTCATTCCACAACACACGCAGATCATCATTCCACCATGGCTTTCTCACACGACGCTTTTTATTGCTCTTTCCACCAAAAACCACATGATAACATGGTTTTAACTTTTCATGCATCTGTCGCTGAACCAAGTCTGTGAGAGTCTCCGCACCTAGATTAGGTCATTCTGAGACTGGGTCGACATCTCGAGCTGAAATATGATGTCATTCAAGTGTGCTATACATTTATCAGATGTTAAAAAGCGTGAAGCATAAACCGTGTCTGACTGGTAATCCGCTACCTGTGAGGCAATATTATTAGCCTCACATGACACTGACCACTGTAGCAGCGAGTGATCAATCTTACTATGTAAGTCTGTATTTACCTGTTCAACACCAGCGCCCTCTATGCAACAACTGACCTGACCTAGCCAATCAACACGAAGCAAACAATGAACACGATGGAACAATTGACGTGACCTACCCAATCAACGAAGCAAACAATGAACACGATGGAACAATTGACCTGACCGAGTCAATCAACACGAAGCAAACAATGAACACGATGGAACAATTGACGTGACCTAACCAATCAACGAAGCAAACAATGAAAACGATGGAACAATTGACCTGACCGAGTCAATCAACACGAAGCAAACAATGAACACGATGGAACAATTGACGTGATCTAACCAATCAACGAAGCAAACAATGAACACGATGGAACAATTGACGTGACCTAACCAATCAACACGAAGCAAACAATGAACACGATGGAACATTTGACGTGACCTAACCAATCAACACGAAGCAAACAATGAAAACGATGCATCAGTTGACGTGACCTGGCCAATCAACAACGAAGCAAACAATGAAAACGATGGAACAATTGACGTGACCTAGCCAATCAACACGAAGCAAACAATGAAAACGATGCATCAGTTGACGAAGCAAACAATCAAATGTTCAGCGAGAATTACTGACGATAATGTCACTTCCGTGCCCCTGTGTGGGTCATATAAATAGACTGATAATAACATATAAGTACATACAGATTGTAAGTCAGGACCTTTCTTGTCTACATTCATTGTTGGTGTGTTTGATTTTACGAGCGCTTCGTTATGTAATGGGGGCCGATTTTTTCGGAGGCTGCGATTGGACGACATCAAATACAGCGTGAATTGGTCCTTAGTATGGAAAGAAAATGCGTACTACTTCAAAATTTGTTTGTGAAGTGAAATTGTTCTCGCTAAAATTGACATTAGCAGAGTAGTTCCATTTCGCCCTAAACAAACTTAAGAGGTGTGGACGTGCCTACATGTTTATCTAGATTCGTAATGAACGACGCTTTGCACGCGCGCTTAACAAATGGATATGGTACTGATTAGTAACACATCTTTTGGGCTGCTAGCTAAAAGTGCTACGTTTCTGGCGCGAACCAACAGTGGGCTAGCACTTTAAATCCTGCACAAGTCCTGACTAGTGCTAGTAGCCACTCACACTTGCATGAGTATTGTAATATAAGCGAAACAGTCTTGACGTTAAGCCCCATTTCACCTCACGTCAGTAAATAATTCGTGTCTATTTCAGTACTGGCAGTGGGAGCTGATGGGGCGTCGTGTGACGAGTGTTGGGCGACTTACGATGCTGCAACCAAGACATGCCCGTAAGTAAAATCAAGCCGCAACCGAAGACCACGAAGATAGAAAACAGATGAACAGAAATGAAATCAGATCAAGAGGCCCTGATCCAATCGGTGCTCGTTATTTGGGTCACGTTTTATACGTCAGTGCTCGACGGGCTGCATGTAAAACAAACATTTCAAATACGCCTGCACCATAGCTTCGTTGGCCTTGAGTGGGAAGTGAAAAGTGTCGTTTTCGGTACCGGTTCCAAGAGACGCAGCCATCCAACCCATGACGACATGGATACATGAAACCATACACGGACGACTTCACAGACAATGACGTACTGTGGTCGATACATGTCGCCATGCACGGACGACTTCACAGACAATGACGCACTCTGGTCGATACATGTCGCCATGCACGGAAGACTTTGCAGACAATGACGTACTGAGGTCGATACATGTCACGGAAGACTTTGCAGACAATGACACACTGAGGTCGATACATGCCACCATGCACGGCCGACTTTGCAGACAATGACGTACTGAGGTCGATACATGTCGCCATGCACGGACGACTTTGCAGACAATGACGTACCGAGGTCGATACATGCCGCCATGCACGGAATACTTTGCAGACAATGACGTACTGAGGTCGATACATGCCGCCATGCACGGAATACTTTGCAGACAATAACGCACTGAGGTCGATACATGCCGCCATGCACGACGACTTTACAGACAATAACGTACAGAGGTCGATACATGCCACCGTGCACGGAACACTTTGCAGACAATGACGTACTGAGGCCGATACATGCTACCATGCACAGCACACGTAATAGACAATGACGCACTGAGGTCGATACATGCCGCCATTCACGGAAGACTTTGCAGACAATGACGTACTGAAGTCGATACATGCCACAATGCACAGAAGACTTAAAAGACAATGACGTACTGAAGTCGATACATGCCGCCATGCACGGAAGACTTTGCAGACAATGACGTACTGAAGTCGATACATGCAGCCATGCACGGAAGACTTTGCAGACAATGCCGTACTGAAGTCGATACATGCCACCATGCACGGAACACTTTGCAGACAATGACGTACTGAAGTCGATACATGCCACAATGCACAGAAGACTTTGCAGTCAATGACGTACTGAAGTCGATACATGCCGCCAAGCACGGACGACTTTGCAGACAATGACGTACTGACGTCAATACATGCCACCATGCATGGAAGACTTTGCAGACAATGACGTACTGAAGTCGATACATGCCACAATGCACAGAAGACTTAAAAGACAATGACGTACTGAAGTCGATACATGCCGCCATGCACGGACGACTTTGCAGACAAGATGTACTGAAGTCAATACATGCCGCCATGCATGGAAGACTTTGCAGACAATGACGTACTGAAGTCGATACATGCCACCATGCACGGAACACTTTGCAGACAATGACGTACTGAAGTCGATACATGCCACAATGCACAGAACACTTTGCAGTCAATGACGTACTGAAGTCGATACATGGAGCCCTGCACAGAAGACTTAATAGACAATGACGCACTGAGGCCGATATATGCCACCATGCACGGACGACTTTGCAGACAATGACGTACTGAAGTCGATACATGCCACAATGCACGGAACACTTTGCAGACAATGCCGTACTGAAGTCGATACATGCCACCATGCTCGGACGTCTTAATAGACAATGACGTACTGAGGTCGATACATGCCACCATTAACGGACGACTTTGCAGACAATGACGCACTGAGGCCGATACATGCTACCATGCACAGCACACGTAATAGACAATGACGCACTGAGGTCGATACATGCCACCATGCACGGACAACTTTGCAGACAATGACGTACTGAAGTCGATACATGTCGCCATGCACGGAATACTTTGCAGACAATGACGTACTGAGGTCGATACATGCCGCCATGCACGGAATACTTTGCAGACAATAACGCACTGAGGTCGATACATGCCGCCATGCACGACGACTTTACAGACAATAACGTACAGAGGTCGATACATGCCACCGTGCACGGAACACTTTGCAGACAATGACGTACTGAGGCCGATACATGCTACCATGCACAGCACACGTAATAGACAATGACGCACTGAGGTCGATACATGCCGCCATTCACGGAAGACTTTGCAGACAATGACGTACTGAAGTCGATACATGCCACAATGCACAGAAGACTTAAAAGACAATGACGTACTGAAGTCGATACATGCCGCCATGCACGGACGACTTTGCAGACAATGACGTACTGAAGTCGATACATGCAGCCATGCACGGAAGACTTTGCAGACAATGACGTACTGAAGTCGATACATGCCACCATGCACGGAAGACTTTGCAGACAATGACGTACTGAAGTCGATACATGCCACAATGCACAGAAGACTTTGCAGTCAATGACGTACTGAAGTCGATACATGCCACCATGCACGGACGACTTTGCAGACAAGACGTACTGAAGTCAATACATGCCGCCATGCATGGAAGACTTTGCAGACAATGACGTACTGAAGTCGATACATGCCACCATGCACGGAACACTTTGCAGACAATGACGTACTGAAGTCGATACATGCCACAATGCACAGAACACTTTGCAGTCAATGACGTACTGAAGTCGATACATGGAGCCCTGCACAGAAGACTTAATAGACAATGACGCACTGAGGCCGATATATACCACCATGCACGGACGACTTTGCAGACAATGACGTACTGAAGTCGATACATGCCACAATGCACGGAACACTTTGCAGACAATGACGTACTGAAGTCGATACATGCCGCCATGCTCGGACGTCTTAATAGACAATGACGTACTGAGGTCGATACATGCCACCATTAACGGACGACTTTGCAGACAATGACGCACTGAGGCCGATACATGCTACCATGCACAGCACACGTAATAGACAATGACGCACTGAGGTCGATACATGCCACCATGCACGGACAACTTTGCAGACAATGACGTACTGAAGTCGATACATGTCGCCATGCACGGACGACTTTGCAGACAATGACGTACCGAGGTCGATACATGCCGCCATGCACGGAATACTTTGCAGACAATGACGTACTGAGGTCGATACATGCCGCCATGCACGGAATACTTTGCAGACAATAACGCACTGAGGTCGATACATGCCGCCATGCACGACGACTTTACAGACAATAACGTACAGAGGTCGATACATGCCACCGTGCACGGAACACTTTGCAGACAATGACGTACTGAGGCCGATACATGCTACCATGCACAGCACACGTAATAGACAATGACGCACTGAGGTCGATACATGCCACCATGCACGGACAACTTTGCAGACAATGACGTACTGAAGTCGATACATGTCGCCATGCACGGACGACTTTGCAGACAATGACGTACCGAGGTCGATACATGCCGCCATGCACGGAATACTTTGCAGACAATGACGTACTGAGGTCGATACATGCCGCCATGCACGGAATACTTTGCAGACAATAACGCACTGAGGTCGATACATGCCGCCATGCACGACGACTTTACAGACAATAACGTACAGAGGTCGATACATGCCACCGTGCACGGAACACTTTGCAGACAATGACGTACTGAGGCCGATACATGCTACCATGCACAGCACACGTAATAGACAATGACGCACTGAGGTCGATACATGCCGCCATTCACGGAAGACTTTGCAGACAATGACGTACTGAAGTCGATACATGCCACAATGCACAGAAGACTTAAAAGACAATGACGTACTGAAGTCGATACATGCCACCATGCACGGACGACTTTGCAGACAATGACGTACTGAAGTCGATACATGCAGCCATGCACGGAAGACTTTGCAGACAATGACGTACTGAAGTCGATACATGCCACCATGCACGGAACACTTTGCAGACAATGACGTACTGAAGTCGATACATGCCACAATGCACAGAAGACTTTGCAGTCAATGACGTACTGAAGTCGATACATGCCGCCATGCACGGACGACTTTGCAGACAATGACGTACTGACGTCAATACATGCCACCATGCATGGAAGACTTTGCAGACAATGACGTACTGAAGTCGATACATGCCACCATGCACGGAACACTTTGCAGACAATGACGTACTGAAGTCGATACATGCCACAATGCACAGAACACTTTGCAGTCAATGACGTACTGAAGTCGATACATGGAGCCCTGCACAGAAGACTTAATAGACAATGACGCACTGAGGCCGATATATGCCACCATGCACGGACGACTTTGCAGACAATGACGTACTGAAATCGATACATGCCACAATGCACGGAACACTTTGCAGACAATGACGTACTGAAGTCGATACATGCTACCATGCACAGCACACGTAATAGACAATGACGCACTGAGGTCGATACATGCCACCATGCACGGACAACTTTGCAGACAATGACGTACTGAAGTCGATACATGCCACTATGCACAGAACACTTTGCAGACAATGACGTACTGAAGTCGATACATGCAGCCCTGCACAGAAGACTTAATAGACAATGACGCACTGAGGCCGATATATGCCACCATGCACGGACTACTTTGCAGACAATGACGTACTGAGGCCGATACATGCTACCATGCACAGCACACGTAATAGACAATGACGCACTGAGGTCGATACATGCCGCCATGCACGGACAACTTTGCAGACAATGACGTACTGAAGTCGATACATGCCACCATGCACAGAACACTTTGCAGACAATGACGTACTGAAGTCGATACATGCCGCCATGCACAGAATACTTTGCAGACTATGACGCACTGAGGTCGATACATGCCACCATGCACGGACGACTTTACAGACAATAACGTACAGAGGTCGATACATGCCGCCATGCACGGTCGACTTTGCAGACAATGACGTACTGAAGTCGATACATGCAGCCATGCACGGACGACTTTGCAGACAATGACGTACTGAAGTCGATACATGCCACCATGCACAGAAGACTTAATAGACAATGGCGCCTTGAAGTCGATACATGCCACCATGCACGGAAGACTTTGCAGACAATGACGTACTGAGGCCGATACATGCTACCATGCACAGCACACGTAATAGACAATGACGCACTGAGGTCGATAGATGCCGCCATGCACGGAAGACTTAAAAGACAATGACGTACTGAAGTCGATACATGCCACCATGCACGGACGACTTTGCAGACAATGACGTACTGAAGTCGATACATGCAGCCATGCACAGAAGACTTTGCAGACAATGCCGTACTGAAGTCGATACATGCCACCATGCACGGAACACTTTGCAGACAATGACGTACTGAAGTCGATACATGCCACCATGCACAGAAGACTTTGCAGTCAATGACGTACTGAAGTCGATACGTGCCGCCATGCACGGACGACTTTGCAGACAATGACGTACTGAAGTCGATACATGCCGCCATGCACGGAAGACTTTTCAGACAATGACGTACTGAAGTCGATACATGCCACCATGCACGGAACACTTTGCAGACAATGACGTATTGAAGTCGATACATGCCACAATGCACGGAAGACTTTGCAGTCAATGACATACTGAGGTCGATACATGGAGCCCTGCACAGAAGACTTAATAGACAATGACGCACTGAAGTCGATACATGCCACCATGCACGGAACACTTTGCAGAAAATGACGTACTGAAGTCGATACATGCCACCATGCACAGAAGACTTAATAGACAATGACGCACTGAGGCCGATATATGCCACCATGCACGAAAGACTTTGCAGACAATGACGTACTGAAGTCGATACATGCCACAATGCACAGAACACTTTGCAGACAATGACGTACTGAAGTCGATACATGCCACAATGCACGGAAGACTAACTAGGCAATGACGTATTGAAGTCGATACATGCAGCCATGCACGGACGTCTTAATAGACAATGACGCACTGAAGTCGATACATGCCACCATTCACGGAAGACTTTGCAGACAATGACGCACTGAGGCCGATACATGCTACCATGCACAGCACACGTAATAGACAATGACGCACTGAAGTCGATACATGCCGCCATGCACGGAAGACTTTGCAGACAATGACGTACTGAAGTCGATACATGCCACCATGCACAGAAGACTTAAAAGACAATGACGTACTGAAGTCGATACTTGCCTCCATGCACGGACGACTTTGCAGACAAGACGTACTGAGGCCGATACATACTACCATGCACACCACACGTAATAGACAAAGACGCACTGAAGTCGATACATGCCACCATGCACAGAAGACTTTGCTGGCAATGACGTACTGAAGTCGATACATGCCGCCATGCACGGACGACTTTGCAGACAATGACGTACTGAAGTCGATACATGCCACCATGCACGGAACACTTTGCAGACAATGCCGTACTGAAGTCCATACATGCCACCATGCACGGACGACTTTGCAGACAATGACGTACTGAAGTCGATACATGCCACCATGCACGGACAACTTTGCAGACAAGACGTACTGAAGTCGATATATGCCACCATGCACGGACGACTTTACAGACAAGACGTACTGAAGTCGATACATGCCACCATGCACAGAAAACTTAATAGACAATGACATACTGAAGTCGATACATGCAGCCCTGCACAGAAGACTTAATAGACAATGACGTACTGAAGTCGATACATGCCACCATGCACAGAAGACTTAATAGACAATGGCGCCTTGAAGTCGATACATGCCACCATGCACGGAAGACTTTGCATTCAATGACGCACTGAGGTCGATACATGCCACTATGCATGCAAGACATTACAGTTGCTTACGACTGACGACTGCAGGTGAACGGCCGATTATTTTAGAGTTACACATAGCCAAAGAGATGACGACTGACGACACTTCGTGTCTAGATACGTATGTATGTCATGTGTACACTTCAAAGTAATACTTCTTTTCTGTTCACCTTGATCTCTATGTTATATTTCAGTGTTGCCTATGCCTTCATTACGTGTATGGAGGATGCCGTAAATCCCGGATGTCCAACAACGGGTCTCAACATGGCTTCGTTTATTGGACAAATTGGAGGCTGTGGTGGGTAATACTTTCTACTGATTTCATCCGCAACAATAACACTGCAACACAGCATCAGGCGGTAAAGTTTCAATGTGATGTTCTCTATTTCCAACGCAAACTGTAAATATCCCAACTGATCTAGTGAGAAGGGTTAAAACATTACAATCCTTAAACACCTGTCCCTTGAAGTGTATATCTTAATCTATAATAAGTGTGTAAGGTTATATTAGAGTGTGCTCAAGTATGTTTGCATCACGTTTACTCTTGAGAGTAATCCAAAATTACATCTCTGATGGTTTACTTCATGTATAGTATATTTAAGAAACAAACGACGAGTGGGAGTTGTTTATCGTAAAATAAAACACTGCAGGGAGAATACACCATGAGTCGTTTTTTTCTTTTATGAGATATCGACGTTATGTACAGTCTCTTTAAGGATGGCGATAGATAGTACAAGCTTTAAAAACATTTGCCCGTATGTAAATAATGATGACTCCCTCAATAGAATCCGACCTCGGCGATGTCGGACAAGTCCATCTTATGCACAGGTGGGTATTTCCCGCATATTCTCCCAATCCTCACTTCGATGCCCTGTATCTGTTCTCCCGATACGATTATTATATCTCTATCGCTTTGGGATGCGGTCGTTCTGCCATCGCGTTTATCTGCGTTGTCCAGCTTCATGGGAACAACTTACAGGACACTCCCCTCTCAAAAATAAACGTCGTCATATATACGACGTCATCAAGTTGCGAGCGCATGTTCGAATCTCCAGAAATGGCGTCATGATAGAACAATGTTTTATCGTGAAATAAACCACGCTTCGTTCTTTATTATTCTTTGGGATTTATTGCGTGGCTGTCATACCAGGTTCAAGCGATCTTGGGTTCGAAATCCCAGATTCACCGAGATTATGGTCACTGGTCTTTCATCACCAAACTCATGTGTGTGAGAGTGCTTTCCTATTGCAGTAGGCGTAATGTCCCAAAGTATGACATATAGCAATTTATAGAATATAGGAATATATGACATGTGATGATGTATAACAACTGGCAACGTGTCCAATGTAGTGATGTATGGCATTTCAACTGTGTATGTCTTTGAGACTATTACTGAAAACTGTTCTATTATTATACTTCTCTTACCTTTCAGCTCAGACCGCCCTGTGTACCTGTCAAAAAGACCACCTCCTTCGGTGGTCCCAGGGTACACCCAGTCTATGCGAGTAAGTAGTGTTTCAAACACACACAATGGTATTTGGGTATTTTACCACACACAGACACGAACGTAGGCGCGCAAACATACAAACGCACACACGGAAGCAAACATATATCATGGATTATAACGCAGGTTCAGCTATAGGGCACGGATCAGCGTGGACCTGTAGACGAAAACGTCTGGACGCTGATGCTCTTCTTGGAAGCTCCAAAATGACAACTCTTGTCCTTCAACGAGTTTTAAACAAAAACGGAACCTGCCATCTGTTTGCATGAACCAATATGCATGAGTATCGCACCAATATTATTGGAGCCATTTGTGTGACCTTGGTTAGAATCTGCTGTTCTTATATCATAATAAATGAAACATGTTGACTATGCACTAACTGTTACAATGGTTGCATATCTGATCAATACGGCGAAGACATTCCCCATCTGGAAAGCCATTGATGGACTACTGGATCACAATGCATGCTCCCAAACTGTGAATCTGGTTCGTCGTTAAGCGCCGCTTTAAATACTATTTCAGTCATATCACGAGGAGTCAGCTCAAATTCAGCGAATTTAATGTGACGTAGGTCGTAGACTACCTTGCAATTAAAAGTGGTTCAAGCAACAAGCATGACGCTGGTGCTGACAAATCAAAGAGCAGCATAACAGAGAAATATCGGATTTAAACCACAATCAGCGTTTCCTGGCGTGGCTAAGGGACGCAACTATCTACATTGACTTGCGGCATCGTAAACCTTTAGGGCAGACTTGTCTCCTCTCGTCGACGGGTCCAAGTAGCTGTACAAACATGTACATAAAAAGGTGTTACTTAGTTTCAACTAATACTGTCATACAACCCACTTATGACTTGAGATGTCTGTTGACAGGAGTGAGAAGCAGAAACTTGGATGTATTGGTGGAGTGACAGATGCGGCGTGCGACACCACTACCAAAGGCCACACTATAGCCACTTCCACAGAAACAGACATCAATGCTATTGGAGGCTGTGCAGCAGGTGCGTTGACTTCTCTTCTGTTGTATCATGTTATGACATAACCTCACATTACGTTGACTTCTGTTGTATCTGACTGTGTCTGTAGTGACATTAGTTACATTATCTCCAGGCCGTACAGATGGTATGTTGACTTCTTTGCATCAGTCTGTGTCTGGAGTGACATTAGTTACATTATCTCCAGGCCGTACAGATGGTATGTTGACTTCTTTGCATCAGCCTGTGTCTGTAGTACCACAGATATAGCCTTACATTACCTCCAGGCCGTACAGCTGGTATGTTGACTTCTTAGCATCAGCCTGTGTTTGTAGTAACACAGATATGGCCTTACATTACCTCCAGGCCGTGCAGCTGGAGTGTTGACTTCTTTGCATCAGTCTGTGTCTATAAAAACACAGATTTAGTCTTACATTACCTACAGGCCGTGCAGCTGGTATGTTGACTTCTTTGCATCAGTCTGTGTCTGTAGTAACACAGATATGGCCTCACATTACCTCCAGACCGTACTGCTGGTATGTTTACTTCTTTGCATAAGTCTGTTTAGTAACACAGATATAGTCTTACATTACCTCCAGGCCGTACAGATGATATGTTGACTTCTTTGCATCAGTCTTTGTCTGTAGAAAAACAGATATAGTCTTACATTGCCCCAAGGACATGCAGATGGTATGTTGACTTCTTTGCATCAGTCTGTGTCTGTAGTAACACAGATATAGTCTTACATTACCCCCAGGACATGCAGATGGTATGTTGACTTATTTGCATCAGTCTGTGTCTGTAGTAACACAGATATGGCCTTACATTACCTCCAGGCCGTGCAGATGGTGTGTTGACTTCATGCATCAGTCTGTGTCTATAGTAACACAGATATGGCCTTACATTACCTGCAGGACATGCAGATGGTATGTTGACTTCTTTGCATCAATCTGTGTCTGTAGTAACACAGATATGGCCTTACATTACCTCCAGGACATGCAGATGGTATGTTGACTTCTATGTATCAGTCTGTGTCTATAGTAACACAGATATGGCCTTACATTACCCCCAGGCCGTGCAGCTGGTATGTTGACTTCTTTGCATCAGTCTGTGTCTGTAGTAACACATATATGGCCTTACATTACCTCCAGGACATTCAGATGGTATGTTGACTTCTTTGCATCAGTCTGTATTTGTAGTAACACAGATATAGTCTTACATTATATCCAGGACATGCAGATGGTATGTTGACTTCTTTGTATCAGTCTGTGTCTGTAGTAACACAGATATGGCCTTACATTACCTCCAGGCCGTACAGATGATATGTTGACTTCTTTGCATAAGTCTGTTTAGTAACACAGATATGGCCTTACATTACCTCCAGGACATTCAGATGGTATGTTGACTTCTTTGCATCAGTCTGTATTTGTAGTAACACAGATATGGCCTTACATTACCTCCAGGTCGTGCAGCTGGGATGTTGACTTCTTTGCACAGATATGGCCTTACATTACCTCCAGGACATGCAGATGATATGTTGGCTTCTTTGCATCAGTCTGTGTCTGTAGTAACACAGATATAGTCTTACATTATCTCCAGGCCGTACAGATGGTGTGTTGACTTCTTTGCATCAGTCTGTGTCTGTAGTAACACAGATATAGTCTTACATTATCTCCAGGCCGTACAGATGGTATGTTGACTTCTTTACATCAGTCTGTGTCTGTAGTAACACAGATATAGTCTTACATTATCCCCAGGACATGCAGATGGTATGTTGACTTCTTTGCATCAATCTGTGTCTATAGTAACACAGATATGGCCTTACATTACCTCCAGGACATGCAGATGGTATATTGACTTCTTTGCATCAATCTGTGTCTGTAGTAACACAGATATGGCCTTACATTACCTCCAGGACATTCAGATGGTATGTTGACTTCTTTGCATCAGTCTGTATTTGTAGTAACACAGATATGGCCTTACATTACCTCCAGGTCGTGCAGCTGGTATGTTGACTTCTTTGCACAGATATGGCCTTACATTACCTCCAGGACATGCAGATGATATGTTGGCTTCTTTGCATCAGTCTGTGTCTGTAGTAACACAGATATAGTCTTACATTATCTCCAGGCCGTACAGATGGTGTGTTGACTTCTTTGCATCAGTCTGTGTCTGTAGTAACACAGATATAGTCTTACATTATCTCCAGGCCGTACAGATGGTATGTTGACTTCTTTACATCAGTCTGTGTCTGTAGTAACACAGATATAGTCTTACATTATCCCCAGGACATGCAGATGGTATGTTGACTTCTTTGCATCAATCTGTGTCTATAGTAACACAGATATGGCCTTACATTACCTCCAGGACATGCAGATGGTATATTGACTTCTTTGCATCAATCTGTGTCTGTAGTAACACAGATATGGCCTTACATTACCTCCAGGACATTCAGATGGTATGTTGACTTCTTTGCATCAGTCTGTATTTGTAGTAACACAGATATGGCCTTACATTACCTCCAGGTCATGCAGCTGGTACGTTGACTTCTTTGCACAGATATGGCCTTACATTACCTCCAGGACATGCAGATGATATGTTGACTTCTTTGCATCAGTCTGTGTCTGTAGTAACACAGATATAGTCTTACATTATCTCCAGGCCGTACAGATGGTGTGTTGACTTCTTTGCATCAGTCTGTGTCTGTAGTAACACAGATATAGTCTTACATTATCTCCAGGCCGTACAGATGGTATGTTGACTTCTTTACATCAGTCTGTGTCTGTAGTAACACAGATATAGTCTTACATTATCCCCAGGACATGCAGATGGTATGTTGACTTCTTTGCATCAATCTGTGTCTATAGTAACACAGATATGGCCTTACATTACCTCCAGGACATGCAGATGGTATATTGACTTCTTTGCATCAATCTGTGTCTGTAGTAACACAGATATGGCCTTACATTACCTGAAGGACATGCAGATGGTATGTTGACTTCTTTGTATCAGTCTGTGTCTATAGTAACACAGATATGGCCTTACATTACCTCCTGGTCGTGCAGCTGGTATGTTGACTTCTTTGCATTAGTCTGTTTAGTATCACAGATATGGCCTTACATTACCTTCAGGACATGCAGATGGTATGTTGACTTCATGCATCAATCTGTGTCTGTAGTAACACAGATATGGCCTTACATTACCTGCAGGACATGCAGATGGTATGTTGACTTCATGCATCAATCTGTGTCTGTAGTAACACAGATATGGTCTTACATTACCTCCAGGCCGTGCAGATGATATGTTGACCCCTTTGCATCAGTCTGTGTCTGTAGTAACACAGGTATGGTCTTACATTACCCCAGGCCGTACTGCTGGTATGTTGACTTCTTTGCATAAGTCTGTTTAGTAACACAGATATGGCCTTACATTACCTCCAGGTCGTGCAGCTGGTATGTTGACTTCTTTGCATCAGTCTGTTTAGTAACAAAGATATGGCCTTACATTACCTCCAGGCCGTACAGATGATATGTTGACTTCTTTGCATCAGTCTGTGTCTGTAGCAACACAGATATAGTCTTACATTATCTCCAGGACATGCAGGTGGTATGTTGACTTCTTTGCATCAATATGTGTCTGTAGTAACACAGATATAGTCTTACATTACCTGCAGGACATGCAGATGGTGTGTTGACTTCATGCATCAGTCTGTGTCTATAGTAACACAGATATGGCCTTACATTACCTGCAGGACATGCAGATGGTATGTTGACTTCTTTGCATCAATCTGTGTCTGTAGTAACACAGATATGGCCTTACATTACCTCCAGGACATGCAGATGGTATGTTGACTTCTATGTATCAGTCTGTGTCTATAGTAACACAGATATGGCCTTACATTACCCCCAGGCCGTGCAGCTGGTATGTTGACTTCTTTGCATCAGTCTGTGTCTGTAGTAACACATATATGGCCTTACATTACCTCCAGGACATTCAGATGGTATGTTGACTTCTTTGCATCAGTCTGTATTTGTAGTAACACAGATATAGTCTTACATTATATCCAGGACATGCAGATGGTATGTTGACTTCTTTGTATCAGTCTGTGTCTGTAGTAACATAGATATGGCCTTACATTACGTCCAGGCTGTACAGATGATATGTTGACTTCTTTGCATAAGTCTGTTTAGTAACACAGATATGGCCTTACATTACCTCCAGGACATTCAGATGGTATGTTGACTTCTTTGCATCAGTCTGTATTTGTAGTAACACAGATATGGCCTTACATTACCTCCAGGTCGTGCAGCTGGTATGTTGACTTCTTTGCACAGATATGGCCTTACATTACCTCCAGGACATGCAGATGATATGTTGGCTTCTTTGCATCAGTCTGTGTCTGTAGTAACACAGATATAGTCTTACATTATCTCCAGGCCGTACAGATGGTGTGTTGACTTCTTTGCATCAGTCTGTGTCTGTAGTAACACAGATATAGTCTTACATTATCTCCAGGCCGTACAGATGGTATGTTGACTTCTTTACATCAGTCTGTGTCTGTAGTAACACAGATATAGTCTTACATTATCCCCAGGACATGCAGATGGTATGTTGACTTCTTTGCATCAATCTGTGTCTATAGTAACACAGATATGGCCTTACATTACCTCCAGGACATGCAGATGGTATATTGACTTCTTTGCATCAATCTGTGTCTGTAGTAACACAGATATGGCCTTACATTACCTCCAGGACATTCAGATGGTATGTTGACTTCTTTGCATCAGTCTGTATTTGTAGTAACACAGATATGGCCTTACATTACCTCCAGGTCGTGCAGCTGGTATGTTGACTTCTTTGCACAGATATGGCCTTACATTACCTCCAGGACATGCAGATGATATGTTGGCTTCTTTGCATCAGTCTGTGTCTGTAGTAACACAGATATAGTCTTACATTATCTCCAGGCCGTACAGATGGTGTGTTGACTTCTTTGCATCAGTCTGTGTCTGTAGTAACACAGATATAGTCTTACATTATCTCCAGGCCGTACAGATGGTATGTTGACTTCTTTACATCAGTCTGTGTCTGTAGTAACACAGATATAGTCTTACATTATCCCCAGGACATGCAGATGGTATGTTGACTTCTTTGCATCAATCTGTGTCTATAGTAACACAGATATGGCCTTACATTACCTCCAGGACATGCAGATGGTATATTGACTTCTTTGCATCAATCTGTGTCTGTAGTAACACAGATATGGCCTTACATTACCTCCAGGACATTCAGATGGTATGTTGACTTCTTTGCATCAGTCTGTATTTGTAGTAACACAGATATGGCCTTACATTACCTCCAGGTCGTGCAGCTGGTATGTTGACTTCTTTGCACAGATATGGCCTTACATTACCTCCAGGACATGCAGATGATATGTTGACTTCTTTGCATCAGTCTGTGTCTGTAGTAACACAGATATAGTCTTACATTATCTCCAGGCCGTACAGATGGTGTGTTGACTTCTTTGCATCAGTCTGTGTCTGTAGTAACACAGATATAGTCTTACATTATCTCCAGGCCGTACAGATGGTATGTTGACTTCTTTACATCAGTCTGTGTCTGTAGTAACACAGATATAGTCTTACATTATCCCCAGGACATGCAGATGGTATGTTGACTTCTTTGCATCAATTTGTGTCTATAGTAACACAGATATGGCCTTACATTACCTCCAGGACATGCAGATGGTATATTGACTTCTTTGCATCAATCTGTGTCTGTAGTAACACAGATATGGCCTTACATTACCTGAAGGACATGCAGATGGTATGTTGACTTCTTTGTATCAGTCTGTGTCTATAGTAACACAGATATGGCCTTACATTACCTACAGGCCGTGCAGATGGTATGTTGACTTCTTTGCATCAGTCTGTGTCTGTAGTAACACAGATATGGCCTTACATTACCTCCAGGCCGTGCAGATGGTATGACTGAAATCAGCCAAACAAATCTCCCACCCTAGTCAATACATATTGATTTATGCACTGAAAACACCATGATGCGAATATACATTGAATGTTTTCTGATGCCAATGAGTAATCCCAGAAGTAATTTCAGAGTTGCCCCCCTCCCTCGCCCGATATTGATATAAAAACAAACAATATAAACCAGATACATTCGTTGTTAATTGGAATAACGTAAGAATACCGTCTCTTTAGGGCTCATTTGAAATGGTGTTGTTTGTAAGTTATTTTCTCTTATTGTGTCGATCGCCGTTTCAGTTCTTCATGTTGTTTATTTCAGGGTTCACGGACACGTGTCAGTGTGAGAAGACTTACGCCCTCGCGGATATCTCCGTCACGACCACCAGATGCACGTGAGTGTGTGGGAAGAGTGGTGCAGTGGTACAGTCAAACCGCTACTAGTCAAACCGGTCAACACACATAAGTAAAAACATGAAAAAGTCAAAACGAAGATAAAGCAAATAATGTTATGAGAAATAATGTCACTCATAAATGCACATAATATTTGTGAATTTCAAAACTGTTTTATTTTTATATTGATTGTAGCATTTTATTCTTGCTATCACTTCACATTATTCAAGTTCATAAGCATTTGAAAATATTAATTATGAGTTCATCGCAGTTTAAGCTGTTTTCTTTTGCTTTTTGGGTTTGAATCAACGTCGCATAGAACAGAAAATATAAACAGCTACACATTAATCCTTAAATCGATTCCTTATAACTTTGAGAAGCTGTTGATTAAGAAGACGACTGCATTGGTCGAAGGGTTAAGTCCCTTTAAATAACTTCTATGTCTTTCAGAGTGAAACAAATTCAGGGAAAGTAATACATTTCTTTCTGAAAAAATAATTCTATTTCCGAGTTAAACCAAAAGCCTCATGTAAAAATGCTTTAAAAAACCTCCACAGAAATTATAAAGTTGCCCTTACACGCTTGAGATCAGAAAACCCACTTTTTCACACATTTTCTACTCCCGAATATTTTGGTAATATTATGAATAACCTAGTCGGAAGAATGTATTATCTGCCTCTCGCGAATTAATATTAAACTTTCTTCGCTAAGATTCAGAACTTACATAAGGAATTCATTCGGGACAGACGATCCGTAATTCCTCGTAGATAGGGTATTTTCTGTAATTGTTAGTGATCGATATGTCATACACACACAAGCTGCTGTATTGCTGATATGGCAGTGATGCATGGTAATGTGTGTGTATTTGGCCATATGTTCTACATTTATGACACGCCTCCCGCTAAAGTATTAACGTATTTTACCAGTGTAAAGAAAACGTTTGTGGATTGCCTCAAAGACAAAACTGCTGCGACTTGTAAGGCGAGTGAAACAGTTATCTCCCTTGCAACAACTGTTGGTAGTACCATCGGAACTGATTGTACAGGTGAGTTATCTTTCGCTCTTACCGACTTGTGGTTCTGTACTACGTGGAATTCACTGTTAACCAATATTTCAATGGTTATTGGTGAGTTAATTTCACCACTGTCATGAGTGAGTTCCAGAGAAGTGACGAATCCCCCTTGACTGGTTGTGACTTTGTTCGTCACGGTCATGTAATCAATTAATATTTTGTTGTTGAACGCCGTTCTCGGACATATTACAGTGAGTGAGTGAGTGAGTATGGTTTTACGCCGCTTTTAGCAATATTCCAGCAATATCACGGCGGGGGACACCAGAAATGGGCTTCACACATTGTACCCATGTCGGGAATCGAACCCGGGTCTTCGGCGTGACGAGCGAACGCTTTAACCACTAGGCTACCCGACCGCCCCGGACATATTACAGCTATATAGGGGCGGCCTGTATATAATGAAGCTGGGACAGACAATCCAGTGATTGATATAAGGAGTAACTATCCACGCCGTCAGGGTACAATGACAGGCATTCAACAAAGCCATTGAGTCTGACCACCCGAACCATTAAGTCGTCTTTTACAACTAGCACAGGTTGTTGGTGACCTTTTCCCACGGGGTCAAGGTCATGTACCTTAACATGTCAAACTGTCCTGCTTGTGTATTATGGGGAATCGTCTAACAATGTACTCTACTGATTACATACCTGTTGTTGTTAAAATGTAACAAAGTTGAAAGTGTCACTATAAAGCTAAATAATGATTAGGCGTCTAAATGAAATAGAGTGTGCACTGAAATGTCATTACACCTTTTTTCAGGTTTCACTTCCTCAGCCTGTTCCTGTGAGCTGGAGTATGCCAAGGCTGACATATCCTCGGACGCAAACATATGCACGTAAGTGCTGTACATGTGTTCCTTAAAATAACGTGAATGCGATTAATGCAGAAAAATACTTGTGTTTTTGTATTGTCTCCAAAATTCTGCTTATAGTGTTTGTTTGAATTTATCTACTGTCAATACCGTCTCAACTATTGCACCTCGATTTATCCTGGGAGCTTACTACAAATGATAGGGACGACATGATTAACATAGCTTCTACATATCTCTGTGATTGTTTTGTACACAACAGATGTAATTCAAAATTAATATGTCGCTTTTAGTTTGAACAAAATCAATAAATGCGCTATCGTATCACTGGGTCTTTTGGTTGTGGCCTGATTGTCTGGTTTGCCGCATTGTACAGTTTGTTCCGTGTTTTTTCAGGTGTGCTATTGACTTGTCTTTGCATATGTTTGTGATGTGTGCTACCGTTGGGGAGGGATGGACTTACCTTTTTGCGATCACCTGGTATCATCACTATTTGATAGTGATTCATAAACACATGTTCATGATATAGTCGAAATTCTTTCAATGGACTCTGTTTTTGGCAGAGATTTCTTATGAATATAGAAAGGGTTTTGTCGCTTTTATTTATTTTGAAAACTGCTGTCCGGAGTTAGGGAACAAACACTTACTTTTTTATGCAAATTATGTAAGTGTCGGGTGCTATCGGTAAAAAAGGACACGTTGACCCTTTTCGCGAACACCTGGTGCCATCAATGATTTATAGTATTCAGCTCTATTTTGCCTTTTACGTCTTTCACGGCCATTCTCTGGCATTGACGTTTCATATTGTATTTGTATATGACTTGCTGACATTAAAGGTCAATATCATTCATAACGATGAGGTGAAGAGGAAGTGGGGTTAAAGGTCATGTTCAAGATTATCGCACTTATATTAAAGAATTGGCTTTTAACTTTGTGTGAGTTCATTGGAGTATGAACCTTCACAGAGTGAGGGCCAAACTGTATGAATATCGGTGCTTACGAGCATACTCAAATGAACTCACACAAAGTGAAAGTCAATTCTTCTTATTTTTATATCGCTATTCTCAGCTACAAAGGACGTATACACAATTATATTTAGTTCGTGTGACTTCATGTTTACACTGACAGCCATACATGAACCTGCTGAAATAGTTCCTCAAAACGTCAAGTGACATGAGCTTATGTATGCTCAACATGCTCAACAGGGACAACTTCTGTAGTTTCTTCTGAACAAATGTACTCAAGTAAAATCCTCATTAGATGAGAAAGGTCTGTTCAGAACTTCCTCAGTAAGTCAGTCACAAATGACATAGCGTTGTAATACATTTACATCAAGTACAAGACGTCAAAATGGCTGACACTATAAATGTGACGGGAGAGATTTCGGAAGTTGTTAATGAATGGCGGTTACATGTTTTAGTCATCATTGATCAACTGGCCGATCATTGTAAGGTTATTAAAGATGTCAGTGTCAGCCTAGACACGGATCAAGTCGATACTACTATATTTTGAAAGTGCATTTCGTCGTTTTGTTCATTAGGACCTCATTGGGTCGTAGCGAGGATATTCGTGAACAATCATGCAAACTTTTTACGTTTCTCGACGATACTGAAACGCTGAGTTCAAGATTACAGGGTCTGAATGATCAGAAAGAACGCTTCTGTATGTATTCGTGCTAGGGAATTCCCAGGGGTTTCCCCAGGAGTCCGTCCGTGTTTACGTCCGTGTTTACGTCATTTCAAGAATACGGTCTTGTGAACAACGTATGAACGTCCAATTGTGTCGTCAAATCCCTATATCGTGTAAACTTCAATAAAAAAATATATCAACGTGCATGAGCATGTATGTTGAAATGTCTCTGTTTGTGCAGGTGCGTGCGTGCCGATATCACGTTACACATTAACATGGATACCCAAGTCAGACAGTATATGCCTTATTTTGTGCGTTTGCGCCAGCATTGACGTCCTGCTTGACATGTTTGTCTGAATTTGTCTACCACGGTTTCCTAATTACATTGTGGGTGACATCTGGCTGGCCCATCAAGCGGCACATGTACATACTGAAACATGCGGAAACCTCGAGAAGGTCAGAGACGCAGAGACTTTATATTAAAAGAGCGTTGGAACATTTCTCAAATATAATTTGCTGACATGAAACTCAAACTTTGAGGGAATTCGCGGGGAGTGGTGCAATCCCTGCAATGTCCAAAGTGAAAGGTTGCGATGGTGCTCCTGTTTTTCATTCCTTATATATTGTAGTATATTTATCCAAATATGTAATTCCTCAGCGCTCAACTGAATCTGGTATCCTGCCTGAAGGGTAAGACGGGTGCAGGATGTATAGGGGGCACCACCCACTCCCTGGCCACCACCGCCTTCGACACCACCATCCCTGCTATCGCCTCATGTGGTATGTCTCATTTGTAGTTGCAGGTTTTATGTGATTCCAGAATGGCCCTATTTGTAAACCATCGTTTCTCCTCAAAGTAATTGCCAATACTTGTGTCAAATGGTTCCAATGTAAGTGATGTTAAACCCACACTCAGTCATTCAGTTGGTACCAGCAAAGGATTATAAGAAACCCGAAAGGAAATGTTTGTTGATGACTGCTCTGGTTCATTATATACTATGTACAACAATGTTTCAAAGTGAGTACACCCAAATTAAGTCCATCATTACATGTTGCAACTGTGTACAATTATACGAAGTTCACCACTGGATTTCATCAGCTGTGTACACCCAAACTAAATCCACCATTACGGTATTCAAACTATGAACACCCATACCAAGTCCACCATTACATGCCACAAACTGTTCCATTTTCCAGCTAAAACTGATACCTGTACATGCGAGGCCACGTATGCGAAGACTGACATCTCATCTGATCATTGCAGGTAACGTATTAAGATATGGATGACGTTGTGTTGCGAGGTGTAATCTTTCCGTGACGCAAAGGATTTACTTCTATGGATTTACTAACATGATTTCTCTGTCAGGAAGGGGTATCATTTAGTATATTTTTTATTAACAGGAAACTTTATGAAAGCTTGAGTTTAGGTCGTCCTGTTGATGTTGGTAAGAGACTAGAAGAATGTAAATCATGTCTACTTTTGAGTCTTCGCTTCTGAGCGCTACCTTGTTGAAAACAATTACACACCAGTCCTAATATAGAATGAGCAAAATTCAAAACTGGTTTTCATAATGGTTTAGCTACTTTTTGTTAAGTGAGTAGCACTGCATAACACCGACCACAGAAGTCTCACACATCTTTCAGTTGACGTTATCCACACTTTTGTCGTGTGTGCGTGAGTGAGTTCTTTTAATAGTATTTAAGTAATATCAAGGCAAGTCAGGTTGGTGTGTGTGGAACGGTCTCAGACGTTTTGTAATTTGAAAGTTATGGGGACAGACATTTTCGTCAGACTGGAAATGTGTTTGTTCTGTTGATATTTTATGCTCGGTCACAGCAATATATCTTGATACATATCTGAACAATACCAGATGCAGTTCCCCTAAATGATTTACTATAATTGCAAAGGAATAATGTCGAAGTGGATGTGGCATTCACATAAACCCGTGGACTTGCCTGCCTATTCTTCTCTTGTGTATATTTTCATAAAGGGGCCATGTTTTGGTGTTTCAAAATGATACTTCTTCTCAACATATATTACTAGACTACCTGAAGCTTACTGAAATTTTATGACAGTGTTGATGTTGTGCCTCTGGTAATTTTTCCAGTGCGATGAAGACCTTTGTGAACTGCCTGAAAGACAAATCAGAAGCTACTTGCAAAAGTGGCGACACAGTCATAAGCCTCGCAACTGCTATTGAAACTCCAATCGGGACTGGGTGTACAGGTAAGATACAGTACTCTGACTGTACGATTGCTTCGAAAATAAAAGAAGCAGCTGAGAAACCATATTCTGTGTCATATCTGGATTTATGCACAGCAATTCAAAAGGTTGGTAACCTCTACACCAAGCAATTTTGTTTGATAGTGACTAGGAAAATTGACATTTGTGACGATAACAGTCTCCGTACACACAGTCTGTAGCAAGAAAGACGACAAATCAGGAGGTTGCTGTTTCGCATCACGGCGAGGTTTTAAAAGTGTTGTCTACATAAATGTGTTGTTGCTGTATGACGAATGGTATTTCTAGATTAAATGAAAACGGAAGTTGACAATGAAAGTACATCTGATTATTACGATAGACCCTTAACTTTTGAAAGTTACACTCATACTTCTATATCCCAATCAAACGCTAATTTTTTCAGAAAGGTACCCTTTTTTAATATGCCTACAATAAGTTTGAATACTGTTTTTTTAAACATGTAGCTCCTAAGCATGTTCAGATCCTAAACATGTTTAGAAATTATGGAACAAGTAATGTGTGTAGGGTTGTGTTTAGGATCTGAGCTCATTTTTCTTGTAAAATTCAACCAATTAAGCACGAGCTCATTTCAAATCATCAGAGAAAAGATAAATGTTTTATAGTTCATCTTAAAATGCTAACTGAGAACACATGTCCTTTTTAATTACTCGCCCTCTGGAGATACCACTTTTTAAAACAATAAGCTTGTATTACACAGTGTTAATACCAAAGCGCGTGCTTATGTACTGCTGAAACTGGTTTCGGTAACAAATATTTAAAACTCTCAACATCCCTGGACTTATTCAATGACATTGTGTGTAGAGATAATAGATATAACTGAGAGGAGTTTATGCACACCCGGTGACCCAAGCAACCCTGTTTGTAGGCTGACTTCACATGATATTGTTTTGCTGGTGTACCTTTCAACACAATTTCACAAACTACGTCATAGGGTATTATTACGTGATTATAAAGTTTGGGGTGCAGAGCCCCGTTCCACAAGGCGATGGTAGCGCATCGACAGTCTATGTAAATATAATTGTGACAGTTTTAAGAGTTTTACAAGGCAAGTAATAAATAAAAGACTAAATACGCCCCCGTGTAATACCAGTTTTATGAAACTCGAGCGAATGCGAATCAAATAACAGAACTATTCACGCTTTTTTAAAATTTGTATACAACGTGAGCGGGTTTAATGTTCTATGAACTGCCAGTTTTAAAATGTGAATCGTGTGCTTGAAAAATACTGAATTTGCCAATAATGTAGCTTGCCTTAAAAATGTTTTTTGAGAGTTCTGATCCAATTGATCCAATCCCTCCGAGTGGCACTAGTATGTTTAAATCTCATTGACCTTTGATTGAACTTTCCATGATATCGCAATGCGTGTTTCAGATTTTGCTACATCAGCTTGTTCCTGTGAGTTGGGGTATGCCAAGGCTGATGTGTCCTTACCGGCCGCTAGATGCACGTGAGTGTGCCATGACAACGTCGACATTTCATTCATGAACTTTACGTCCATTTTGAGGTTTACGTTACCATCCTATAAATCGTATGATTTCATGAGATATCGTGTGCTAGATTGTACTCTGGATTGGCAGGATGTCCTGAAAGAATACTTTGTTTCAAATATATTGCTTAAAAAGGAATAACATGTTTTATTGGGTTAACAAAAATATCCTGTCTCTAACAAGAATCATCAAACCCCGCCCAGACCCGACCCACCCAGTAAAAATAGTGATTACCTTACAACACTAATCTTCAGAGAGTTAAGTAATCAAAAACTTTGCTTGAAAAATCTCCACTTGTTGCTAGACATAGAGAGCATTATCACGTAAATACAATCCGTAACACTTGCCATGTCACTCGTGCGGATGACGTTAATTAACTATTTCCATGTTACTGCCACAGGGCTCAACTGAATCTGGTATCCTGCCTGAAGGGGAAGACAGGTGCTGGGTGTACTGCTGGCACAGCCAGCACCTTGGCCACCACCGCCGTCGACACCACCATCCCTGCTATCGTCTCATCAGGAACTGCCTGTGGTATGTCTCATTTGTATTTGCAGGTTTTAGCAATTGTCATTTCATGTAACTTCAATATATCTTTTTTCTCATATCCTGCTCATATAATGAAACTGGCCATAATGATATCCCACTCCGCTTACAACGTTGCAACGTGCAGGCAGTATGCCAGGTCTTGCTCCTCCATTCGTGCTATCGTCGCATATTCGAGAGAGAGAGAGGGTGTGTGAGAGAGAGACAGAGAGAGAGACAGAGACAGAAAGACATATTGTTATAAGTATCATTTAGGTATCATTTTCTTTACATTCATATCTATCGTCGCATATTAGAGAGGGGGGGAGAGGGACAGACAGACAGACAGACAGAGAGAGAGAGAGGGAAGGAGACAGACACACACACAAAGAGAGATATATTGTTTTAAGTATCATTTAAGTATCATTTTCTTTACATTCATATCGTGAACATTACATTCTTGTTGGTTACAAATACAGTAAATAGCTAAGTGTACAGAAACCATACAATACAATAACTACACTACACTACAATACAATTGCACGTGATCACGCACGATCATACTTACACATGCTCTATCACAAACACGTGCACACACACGCACACACACAGACACAGAGGTAAACACATACTGTTATCAGTTCCAACACATACTATACTGTAACATGTATTATAACAGAAACAATATCATGTATCAGTAAAACGGCCAAGACACCATTTGCCGTCGTTGATACATGGCTAAAACGGTATTTCAAGGGGTACAAATAATGCGGATTTAAGAGTTGCATGAACGTTTTGACTGACGAGAAGTTGTTGAAGTTCGCTAAAGTTTTGGAATAATTTCAGCGCATTAGCAACACACGAAAATATCTTACATGGAGTCATACAGTGACACATATTCAATATGTGGACACATACAATACTATCTTACTTGGAGTCATACATCGATACATATACGATATGTAGACACATTCGAAAATATCTTACACGGAGTCATACATCGGCACACACAAAATACTTTACATGGAGTCATACATCGACACACACGAAAATACTTTACATGGAGTCATACATCGGCGCACACAAAATACTTTACATGGAGTCATACATCGACACACAAGAAAATGCTTCACACGGGGTCATACATCGACAAACACGAAAATACTTTACAAGGGGTCATACATCAACACATACGAAAAAACCTTACATGGAGTCATACATCGACACACACGAAAATACTTTACATGGAGTCATACATCGGCGCACACAAAATACTTTACATGGAGTCATACATCGACACACAAGAAAATGCTTCACACGGGGTCATACATCGACAAACACGGAAATACTTAACATGGAGTCATACATCGACACACACGAAAATACCTTACGTGGAGTCATACATCGATACATACGATAATACTTTACATGGAGTCATACATCGACACACACGAAAATACCTTACATGGAGTCACACATCGACACATACGAGAATACTTTACATGGAGTCATACACCGACATACACGAAAATACTTTACACGGATTCAAACATCGACATACACGACACTACCTTACATGGAGTCATACATCGACACACACGAAAATACTTAACATGGAGTCATATATCGACACACACGAAAATACTTAACATGGAGTCATACGTTGACACACACGAAAATACCTTACATGGTGTCATACATCGACACACACGAAAATACTTTACATGGAGTCATACATCGACACACATGGAAATACCTTACATGGAGTCATATATCGACACACATGAAAATACTACACATGAAGACATACATGGGCAGAGGCCAGGGTTCCGCTGGGACCATGGAGTTACTTTGTCCTGACATCCGCACATCGTGTTAGAAAAAACTAGTACGTGAGTTAGTTGGGTCTTACGCCGTACTCAGCAACATGCCAGCAACATCACGAGAAACCAGAAACGGGATTTACTGGGAATTGGGCTTCACACACTGTAACATGTCCGGGATCGAATCAAATCCGGCGTGAAAAACGAATGATTTAACCACTGGGCTACTCCAGATAACCAAGCGTGGAATGACGAATCTCTATTTTTTCCAAATGGTTATTTTCCACCAGTCCTTAATGTAGGGTCAAAGATTCATTCGTTTCAGTTTGTTTTCCTCACACCACAAGGCCTATGTTGTATGTACATAATGACTACGATCACCTTCATATGTAAGCAGTGTTCCTATGCACTCAGTATGTTTTACAGGGATAACTAGTGTCCGGACATGTTTAGTTCCTGTCTTTTCTCCCCTCTAGCTCTGACGGACACCTGTACATGCGAGGCTAACTACATGTTGTATGTACATAGTGACTATGATCACTTTCATATGTGTGCAATAGAAGCAGTGTTCCTATGCACTCAGTATGTTTTACAGGGATAACAAGTGTCCGGACATGTTTAGTTCCTGTCTTTTCTCCCCTCCAGCTCTGACGGTCACCTGTACATGCGAGGCTAACTACATGTTGTATGTACATAGTGACTATGATCACCTCTAATGTAAGCAGTGTTCCTAAGCACTCAGTATGTTTTACAGGGATAACAAGTGTCCGGACATGTTTAGTTCCTGTCTTTTCTCCCCTCCAGCTCTGACGGTCACCTGTACATGCGAGGCTAACTACGCCAAGGCTGACATTTCTTCCGATACTAATCACTGCACGTAAGTAGATCCGTATGGAAGACAGGTCACTTAATTACTGTCGCCTGAATGTTCTCAGTAGTTTGTTGTCCTAAAAGACTAATACCGTAAATATCGTAAATGATCAATACACTGAAGACTCGTGTCTAAGTTTTAAGCTCGTTCACAGCAGTATATCTTGATACATATCTGAACAATACCAGATGCAGTTCCCCTAAATGATTTACTATAATTGCAAAGGAACAATGTCGAAGTGGATGTGGCATTCACATTAACCCGTGGACTTGCCTGCCTATTCTTCTCTTGTGTATATTTTCATAAAGGGGCCATGTTTGGGTGTTTCAAAAGGATACTTTCTTCTCAATATATATTACTAGACTACCTGAAGCTTACTGAAATTTTATGACAGTGTTGATGTTGTGCCTCTGGTAATTTTTCCAGTGCGATGAAGACCTTTGTGAACTGCCTGAAAGACAAAACAGAAGCTACTTGCAAAAGTGGCGACACAGTCATCAGCCTCGCAACTGCTATTGAAACTCCAATCGGGACTGGGTGTACAGGTAAGATACAGTACTCTGATTGTACGATTGCTTCGAAAATCAAAGAAGCAGCTGAGAAACCATATTCAGTGTCCTATCTGGATTTATGCACAGCAATTCAAAAGGTTGGTAACCTCTACACCAAGCAATTTTGATTTGATAGTGACTAGGAAAATTGACATTTGTGACGATAACAGTCTCCGTACACACAGTCTGTAGCAAGAAAGACGACAAATCAGGAGGTTGCTGTTTCGCATCACGGCGAGGTTTTAAAAGTGTTGTCTACATAAATGTGTTGTTGCTGTATGACGAATGGTATTTCTAGAATAAATGAAAACGGAAGTTGACAATGAAAGTACATCTGATTACTACTATAGACCCTTAACTTTTGAAAGTTACACTCATACTTCTATATCCCCATCAAACGCTAATATTTTTTAGAAAGGTACCCTTTTTAATATACCTACAATTAATTTGAATACTGTTTTTTTAAACATGTAGCTCCTAAGCATGTTCAGATCCTAAACATGTTTAGAAATTATGGATCAAGTAATGTGTGTAGGGTTATGTTTAGGATCACATTTTACTGTATAATTCAACCCATTAAGCACGAGCTCATTTCAAATCATCAGAGAAAAGATAAATGTTTCTTAGTTCATCTTAAAATGCTTACTGAGAACACATGTCCTTTTAAATTACTCGCCCTCTGGAGATACCACTTTTTAAAACAATAAGCTTGTATTACACAGTGTTAATACCAAAGCGCGTGCTTATGTACTGCTGGAACTGGTTTCGGTAACAAATATTTAAAACTCTCAACATCCCTGGACTTATTCAATGAATTTGTGTGTAGAGATAATAGATAACTGAGAGGAGTTTATGCACACCCGGTGACCCATGTAACCCTGTCTGTAGGCTGACTTCACATGGTATTGTTTTGCTGGTGTACCTTTCAACACAATTTCACAAATTACGTCATAGGTTATTATTACGTTATTATAGAGTTTGGGGTGCAGGGCCCCGTTCCACAAGGCGATGGTAGCGCATCGACAGTCTATGTAAATATAATTGTGACAGTTTTAAGAGTTGTACAAGGCAAGTAATAAATAAAAGACTAAATACGCCCCCGTGTAATATCAGTTTTATGAAACTCGAGCGAATGCGAATCAAATAACAGAACTATTCACGCTTTTTTAAAACTTTGTATAAAACGGGAGCGGGTTTAATGTTCTATGAACTGACAGTTTTAAAATGTGAATCGTGTGCTTGAAAAATACTAAATTTGCTAATAATGTAGCTTGCCTTAAAAATGTTATTTGAGAGTTCTGATCCAATTGATCCAATCCCTCCGAGTGGCACTAGTATGTTTAAATCTCATTGACCTTTGATTGAACTTTCCATGATATCGCAATGCGTGTTTCAGATTTTGCTACATCAGCTTGTTCCTGTGAGTTGGGGTATGCCAAGGCTGATGTGTCCTTACCGGCCGCTAGATGCACGTGAGTGTGCCATGACAACGTCGACATTTCATTCATGTACTTTACGTCCACTTTGAGGTTTACGTTACCATCCTATAAATCGTATGACTTCATGAGCTATCGTGTGCTAAATTGTACTCTGGATTGGCAGGATGTCCTGAAAGAATACTTTGTTTCAAATATATTGCTTAAAAAGGAATAGCATGTTTTATTGGGTTAACAAAAATATCCTGTCTCTAACAAGAATCATCAAACCCCGCCCAGACCCACCCTACCCAGTAAAAATAGTGATTACCTTACAACACTAATCTTCAGAGAGTTAAGTAATCAAAAACCTTTGCTTGAAAAATCTCCACTTGTTGCTAGACACAGAGAGCATTATCACGTAAATACACTCCGTAACACTTGCCATGTCACTCGTGCGGATGACGTTAATTAACTATTTCCATGTTACTGCCACAGGGCTCAACTGAATCTGGTATCCTGCCTGAAGGGGAAGACAGGTGCTGGGTGTACTGCTGGCACAGCCAGCACCTTGGCCACCACCGCCGTCGACACCACCATCCCTGCTATCGTCTCATCAGGAACTGCCTGTGGTATGTCTCATTTGTATTTGCAGGTTTTATGTGATTCCAGAATGGCCCTATTTGTAAACCATCGTTTCTCCTCAAACTCAGGAACTGCCTGTGGTATGTCTCATTTGTATTTGCAGTTTTTAGCAATTGTCATTTCATGTAACTTCAATATATCTTTCTACTCATATCCTGCTCATATCATGAAACTGGCCATAAGGATATTCCACTCCGCTTACAACGTTGCAATGTGCAGGCAGTATGCCAGGTCTTGCTCCCCCATTAGTGCTATCGTCTCATATTAGAGAGGGGGGGGGGGGGGGGGGGGAAGAGACAGAGACAGAGACAGAGAGAGAGAGAGAGAGAGAGAGAGAGAGAGAGAGAGAGAGAGAGAGAGAGAGAGACACACACACACACAAAGAGAGATATATTGTTTTAAGTATCATTTAAGTATTATTTTCATTACATTCATATCGTGAACATTACATTCTTGTTGGTTACAAATACAGTAAATAGCTAAGTGTACAGAAACCATACAATACAATAACTACACTACACTACAATACAATTGCACGTGATCACGCACGATCATACTTACACATGCTCTATCACAAACACGTGCACACACACGCACACACACAGACACAGAGGTAAACACATACTATTATCAGTTCCAACACATACTATGCTGTAACATATATTATAACAGAAACAATATCATGTATCAGTAAAACGGCCGAGACAACATGATACATGGCTAAAACGGTATTTCAAGGTGTACAAATAATGCGTATTTAAGAGTTGCATGAACGTTTTGACTGACGAGGAGTTGTTAAAAGACTGAATCGTGTCATTCGACTCCATTGCTGTAAACGTTTCAAAGCGTAAGTCAGTGTACATATCACATTCTATGAGGAAATGTATTTCATTTTCTTCTTCATCAGGACAGAAAGGGCTCATGTATACCCTGTCGTTGCTCTTCTTTTTTCGAATGGATATATAAAGATGACAACAATAGCAGGCGATCTGGTAGATCAGATAACGAAAAGATTTGAGATTTTATATCTGACAAATTGTGGGTTCGAATCCCGATTCGCCCCGATTATGTTTCTAGGTTTGTCAGCACCATACCCGTGCTCGTGGGTTTCACGGAAGTGGTAAACGTCTGAGACCTGCATGACTTCGGGCTTTCCTCCAACATTAAGCTGACACGCCGCGATATAACTGGAATACTGTTAACAGCGGCGTTAAACCCAACTCACTCACACTTACATTCATATGTAAGCAGTGTTCCTAAGCACTCAGTATGTTTTACAGGGATAACAAGTGTCCGGACATGTTTAGTTCCTGTCTTTTCTCCCCTCCAGCTCTGACGGACACCTGTACATGCGAGGCTAACTACGCCAAGGCTGTCATTTCATCGGATGCTAATCACTGCACGTAAGTAGATCCGTATGGAAGACAGGTCACTTAATTACTGTCGCCTGAATGTTCTCAGTAGTTTGTTGTCCTAAAAGACTAATTCCGTAAATATCGTAAATGATCAATACACTGAAGACTTGTGTCTAGGTTTTAAGCTCGGTCTTAATATGCCTGCCTTTTCTTCTCTTATGTATATTTTCAAATGATTAATACACTGAAGACTCGTCTTAAACTTACGTAGGTTCAATTCACTAATTCTGTCATAGTTTTAATTTTCTAATGCTGATTCATTTTCTTCTCTGGACAACTAATCAGTTTTCTTGTTTATTCGGGATATTCAAAACGAGTGCAACCTAATTGTGTTGCCCTACTCTGACTTTACATCAGCATATATTACACATGGAATACATATATGACCTTTACTGTACAGAGCACTTGGGACATTTGTGGCGTGTCTGAAGACAAAGACTGTTACTGGCTGCATGGGCACTTCAGTGACGGCTCTCGGCCTTTCCGCAGAGACAGCATACGGTACCCTGTCATCTCAGTGCGGTGAGTTAACACATATCTATATTACACCAACACTGCAAGAAAGATATTTGATTCCTTGACTTCATGTTAAACGATCCTAAGCGCCTGTCGCAAGGCATAGCTGCTGCTCAATGTTCTATAGAAATCTGAAATCCTGCCTTCAAGATGACTACTGATACGTCTAATAATATTAAGGGCACAGCCCATCATTTGATGATTTAAACTCAGGAAGTAACGGATTTCACTGTATATCATCTTGATTAAACCAATTGTTCTTAGTAGGTATTGTTGCAGTCAATTTGAAATGTAACAATAAAGAATTGCCAATTGGCAATAAGATGGCGACGACAACATCGGAAGCTATGTAATCTTACACTGTATGGGAGTGAGGAGATTAGCGACATCACAGTGCATCAGCTTCAACGGTTTGTGTTGGACACAATTTCAGTAATTCTTATATATTGTTTTGGTCAATTTACAGCTATTACCACCAAAACGTGTGGCTGTGAAGTTGCCTATGTCAAGATGCCATACTCTTCAGATGGCGAGAAGTGCACGTAAGATTCCATGAACTTTATCCTTAATCATATCACAAAACCAGCGCCAAAATCATATTCTTCAACAAATGATGCCACCGTGAACGCTAAAACATGTACTAGTATTTGTGCATTTTGTATTTTCGAATGCTTTCCTTTGATACTCAGAATCAAATCAGTGAAGCCGGGGTTATTAACTGATCAAACGAGAATGATAAAAACATTAGAGGCGTCTTCTTAGAGATTATGTATCAAATGGCGTTAGTATTATGTACAGATTCAAATAAAAATGCAGCAAAGAGGGTTTGTGGTGATCCTGGCACAGTCAGGCTGGTTAGACTCATCATCGGGTCAGGGCCTTTGCCCTATCTACACGCAGCCCAGCCAGTGAATGGGACTTCTCCCAGGAAGCGCTGTCCAGTCGAACCCACATAGAACTTTTCAGAGAATGTGAAGACTCTAACAACACAGCAGCCTTCTGAATTACCCAGATTGTCAGATGGGCTGTATTCTTGGCAGCAAACCCGGGTACTCTCCCGATGTAACGCACCGAGAACAATGGAGAGTCGGACAATTCTTCTTCTTATTCTTCTTCTTATTTTAAAGGTGTTCATTGCAAGTCAGTTTAACCATATAATTTTCTTCCTTAAGGATATTAAGTCGGGCCTCGAGCTAGCAAAGCTTTGAGTGACCTACGCGTCAGGCCAAGGTCACAGTTAATTTCGTGTGCAAAGTATTCGTAGCTGTTTGTTTTGCCTTTTATTAATTCAATATGATGTCTGTTGTGTGATATAATAATGAGCAGGATCAACAGGATTTGTATTTATGGAGGAAAACAAGTGATGAGAACTGTCATTGCAGCGCTAGGTCATTCAGTCTTCCTTTATACGTTGTCCAATTGAAGGTGCACGTTTCGGATTTACTTGTCCTGTGTTATATAATCAACCAAATAATAACAAGGGGGCAGTTATTTTTCAGGAGTCAATTGTCCGGGTGGCAGTTTTCAGGAGTCAAATGTCCGGGTGGCAGTTTTCAGGGGCAATTGTTATGTTGGCTGTTTTATTAGGGCATTTGTCCGGGTGGCAGTTTTCAGGGACAATTGTCTAGTTACAACACATATGGATAGCAGCAGTATCCATATAGCAGCAGTACTAACTCGTTCGTTTACATAACACAATAAGAATTAATTTTACTTTAGGTAAATAATGTTGATACATCTCACACTCTCACAATCGCGACAACTATAGTAAATCACAAATTACTGGTTCAATCTGGTACACTGGCTGTGACATATAGTATGTCACAAACCATGAGTATACCATGGACACTTAATACCATAAGTCGTCACGATATGGCTGAAATATTGCCGATAGGACGTAAAGCATTAACTCACTCACTCACTAATACCATGAGTAAACCATGGACATTTAATACCATGAGTAAACCATGGACATTTAATACCATGAGTATACCACGGACACTAAATAACATGAGTATACTATGGACACTTAATACCATGAGTAAACCATGGACACTTAATGCCATGAGTATACCATGGACACGAAATAACATGAGTATACCATGGACACTTAATACCATGAGTATACCATGAACACTTAATACCATGATTATATCACGGACACTTAATACCATGAGTGTACCATGGTCACTTAAAACCATGAGTAAACCATGGACACTTAATACCATAAATATACCATGAACACTTAATACCATGAGTATATCACGGGCACTTTATACCATAAGTATACCATGGTCACTTAATGCCATGAGTATTTCATGGACACTTAGTACCATGGGAATACCATAAACACTTAATGCCATGAGTATACCATGGTCACTTTATACCATGAGTATATCACGGACACTTAATACCATGAGTATACCATGATCACCTTATACCATGAGTATATCACAGACACTTAATACCATGAGTATACCATGGTCACTTAAAACCATGAGTAAACCACGGACACTTAATGCCATGAGTATTCCATGATCACTTTATACCATGAGTATATCACAGACACTTAATACCATGAGTATACCATGGTCACTTTATACCATGAGTATATCATGGACACTTAATGCCATGAGTATACCATGGACACTTAATGCCATGAGTATACCATGGACACTTAATGCCATGAGTATACCATGGACACTTAATGCCATGAGTATAACATGGACACTTAATGCCATGAGTATACCATGGACACTTGTAAGAGTACCAGATCTACATGTGACTACAGGGTTCTCGCGAACCGAACATCTATTTTCGTGTCCATCCATTTAATTTTCACCGCTATTTTGCCTTTTACGCCGAATGGAATCTGTTTCGGCGGATAATCGAGACTGGTTATTCCCTGGCGTAGACGATTATTATTTATGAAACGGATATTAGATAGGTCCATGGTTCATGTCAGAAAGAACCCCCAAGCCCCCACCCTCCCACCCCCCCACCCCCCTCCCAAATGACTCAGGAAATGTCATTAGCTGACTTTACATGTAAACCATTTTAATTGTTTTGGTCAATGTGCCCCGCTCCACCAGTGAACAACTGGGAACAAATATACCCCGCTATCATGGCAACGACCATTGTCCTGTATTTGAAATCCATGCTGGATACAGCGAAACAACGCCGCGTTATGTATTTTAGCATTGATTTAAGATTTACGTGATGCGTGAAACATTATCATGTTTTCGTCTGGCTATATGGCGACAAATAACGCTTCCTATCTCAACCTCCGCTTTTCTCAAATTGTGGTATCAGCTGATCCCTCGAGAAATACGGATTGATGTACCGACTCGGTTACACGGAAACAGAGAGGATAAATTCAACCGTACACCCCAGCGGACTATGACAGGTTTTGCCAGCGTACCATCAAGCGGTTTACTTTTGATACATCATTCGTGTGTTGGGCTACCCTCAGTGCTGTGTGTTCATGTTGTAAGGCCACAAGATATTCACTGGTAAGCAGCGAAAGTCTCACTTCATTCTCTTACAGAGCTGAGATGACTCTCGTGTCGTGTCTCAAAGGTAAAGAGCCCGCAGATATGAGTTGTGATGGTGCATCCACTTCTATTGCCCTAGCAACTACAGCAGGGGGACAATTTGGCACAATTACGTCTTGTTGTAAGTTACTTTATTTGTAGATTAACAGTATGTTATATTGTTTCAGTGATGTATTTTCTTCCCTGTTCGTCCCATTGCCTTCTCCTCAATGGTGTAGTGGACACAGCGTCCGCCCTGTGAGCGGAAGTCGGTGGTTTGATCCCCTGGCCGCATCATACCACAATACGTTAAAAGATGGTAGTTGGTGTTACTTACCTGCCCATGTGATATCCATGTTATGCTATGTGATGGTATCGCATTTCTACAGCACAATAAAACTGTACATGCATGTGGCTATATGAATAAAAAATCTTGAACGCGACGTTAAACCCCATTTAATTTCAACTCAAGTACCAATTTCCCAAGCAATACAACTAAAGCATTATATAAGCAGGGGAAACTTATTAATATGTAACCAATATATTATCAGAATAAGTGGATGCTAACAGAATACTTCATGTTGATTGTTGTCTTACAATTATTGAGCTTTGTGACCTCGACAAGGCCTGGGTTTGATTCCCGACATGAGTACAATGTGTGAAGCCCATTTTCCGGCGTCCCCTACCATAATATTGCTGTCATATTGCTAAATGCGGCGCTGACATCATACTCACTCACTCACTCACTGATTCACTCATTCTATTATGTACATATTTGCTTTGTGGAGCGGTCGAAATTGAATTGTAAGATAACTAATGTCTTAATGATTTTGTTCTGATTGTATGTATAAGGCATAATAACGACGTCAGTTTTTGTCACAGGTGTACATAATCAATGTATTCATTATCTTTTAAGCTCCAACTGACACATGCACGGCTTGCGAGCTGGGGTATGCTAAGGCTACCATCAACGATCCTACAAACAAGTGCTCGTAAGTACTCAACTGGATTAATCTGAGCACGAGTGTGTGTCGGGGTGTGTGCAAGGTCCCGTAGTCTAGTGAGCAGGGGTTCGAATCTCATGTTCGTCCGAATAATGGTCCTTTGTTTGGCAGCCAAGTACCATGTGTAAAGGTTGTCTCGAAGACCTGCATCACTTTGACGTTTCATGGTATGTGAAGTAGCCACGCTGTAAAATAACTAAAATTCAAAGCGGCGTTGAACCCTCCTAACACTGTCGTGACAGAAGTTGCACTATGCTTTCCATGCTTATGTAACACATTGTTTTCCAGGGCTTTGGCAGCATATATTGGATGTCTGCGAACAAAAACAGCGGCTGGCTGTGTGAGCACCGACACTGTGTCCACCTTAGCGGCAACAGCTGAAACAGATTTCAAGGCCACCAGCTGCAGTAAATATTCTACTCATTTTTAATAAGCCTGAACCCTCATTTATATATTTCTTTATTTATCTAATCACATACCAACATGTATTTATCGGTACAAAGATCTGCGTGACAGTGTTTATAAACACGGTAAGTAAAGTTAATGCATATGTGTGCGCAGCTTAAAGCTGAAGCTGGGGCGGTAGCCTCGTTGTTAAAGCGTTCGCTCGTCAGGCCGAACGCCCTGGTTCGATTCCGCACATGGGTACAATATGGGTAATAATTTCTGGTTTCCCCCGCCGTGATATTGCTGTTATATTGCTAAATGCGGCGTTAAACCAACTCACTCACTCACTTTAAAATGGATGTAGAAATGGTCTATTGGTCAGTTTCAAGATGCGCATGAATTTTGTAGATATTTTGTTGAAAGTAAGCTGGTGATAGAAATTGGTTTATTGCCTTTATTCTCAGCTGTAACACCCACGTGTCAGTGTGAGATTGACTATGCCAAGGCAACCAGAACGTCGGACGCCGATAAATGCACGTGAGTAAATTTCTAGTGTCGCGACGTGTTCATGTTAAATGTGGGACAGAGAGGGAGGGAAATATCTTTCTATGTGTCAGAACATGTCCATGTTGGATGTAGAGCAGAAGGGCGGGGAGTATATTGTAATGTGTCAGAACATGTCCATAGTGGATGTAAAGCAGAAGGGCGGGGAGTCTATTGTAATGTGTCAGAACATGTCCATGTTGGATGTAGAGCAGAAAGGGTGGGGAGTATATTGTAATGTGTCAGAACATGTCCATGTTGAATGTTGGGCAGAGAGGGTGGGAAGTATATTGTAATGTGTCTGAACATGTCCATGTTGGATGTAGAGCAGAAAGGGTGGGGAGTATATTGTAATGTGTCAGAACATGTCCATGTTGGATGTAGAGCAGAAAGGGTGGGGAGTATATTGTAATGTGTCTGAACATGTCCATAGTGGATGTAGAGCAGAAGGGCGGGGAGTATATTGTAATGTGTCTGAACATGTCCACGTTGAATGTTGGGCAGAGAGGGTGGGAAGTATATTGTAATGTGTCTGAACATGTCCATGTTGGATGTAGAGCAGAAAGGGTGGGGAGTATATTGTAATGTGTCAGAACATGTCCATGTTGGATGTAGAGCAGAAAGGGTGGGGAGTATATTGTAATGTGTCTGAACATGTCCATAGTGGATGTAGAGCAGAAGGGCGGGGAGTATATTGTAATGTGTCTGAACATGTCCACGTTGAATGTTGGGCAGAGAGGGTGGGGAGTATATTGTAATGTGTCTGAACATGTCCATAGTGGATGTAGAGCAGAAGGGCGGGGAGTATATTGAAATGTGTCAGAACATGTCCATGTTGGATGTAGAGCAGAAGGGCGGGGAGTCTATTGTAATGTGTCTGAACATGTCCATGTTGGGTGTAGAGCAGAGGGGGGGGGGGGGGGGGGGGGGGGGGGGAGTATAATGTAATGTGTCTGAACATGTCAATGTTGAATGTTGGGCAGAGAGGGTGGGGAGTATATTGTAATGTGTCTGAACATGTCCATGTTGGGTGTAGAGCAGAGGGGGGGGGAGTCTATTGTAATGTGTCTGAACATGTCCATGTTGGGTGTAGAGCAGAGGGGGGGGGGGGGGGGGAGTATAATGTAATGTGTCTGAACATGTCCACGTTGAATGTTGGGCAGAGAGGGTGATGAGTATCTTTCTATGTGTCAGGACATGTCCACGTTGAATGTTGGGCAGAGAGGGTGATGAGTATCTTTCTATGTGTCAAGACATGTCCATGTTGAATGTTGAGCAGAGAGGGCGGGGAGTATATTTCTATGTGTCAAGACATGTCAACGTTGAATATTAGGCAGAGAGGGCGGGGAGTATCTTTCTATGTGTCAGGACATGTCAACGTTGAATGTTGGGCAGAGAGGGTGGGGAGTATCTTTCTATGTGTCATGACATGTCAACGTTGAATGTTGGGCAGAGAGGGTGATGAGTATCTTTCTATGTGTCATGACATGTCAACGTTGAATGTTAGGCAGAGAGGGCGGGGAGTATCTTTCTATGTGTCAGGACATGTCAACGTTGAATGTTAGGCAGAGAGGGCGGGGAGTATATTTCTATGTGTCAGGAGAACACTATTGCTATTTGTCAGGGTACAGGTATGCCCTGGTTTGTGTGTTGCAGACAGGATGAACGAATATGTTTCTATGTTACAGGATATGTTGAATTGGGGTTTGAAAGGAACAATGCTTTCTGTGTGACCACACCATAACTCATTATGTGGGGAGTATCTTTCTATGTGTCAGGACATGTCCGTGTTGAATGTTGAGCAGAGAGTGTGGGAAGTATCTTTCTATATGAAAGCAAATGTCTATGTTGAATGTTGGGCAGAGAGGGTGATGAGTATATTGTAATGTGTCTGAACATGTCCATGTTGAATGTTGAGCATAGAGCGTGGGGAGTATATTTCTTTGTGTCGGGACATGTCCATGTTGAATGTTGAGCAGAGAGCGTGGGGAGTATCTTTCTGTGTGTCAGGAGAACACTATTGCTATTTGTCAGGGTACAGGTATGCCCAAGTTTGTGTGTTGCAGACAGGATGAACGAATATGTTTCTATGTTACAGGATATGTTGAATTGGGGTTTGAAAGGAACAATGCTTTTCTGTGTGACCACACCATAACTCATTATGTAAATAACATCTGGCTTTTTACATTTGTGTTCTGCTGTAGCGCAAGTAAGACTCTCGTAAAATGCTTGGAAGGGAAGACCGATGTATCGTGTGATACTACTACAAAGCCTTCAGATCTTGCAGAGATGGCGGAGACTACAATGACAGGCATCGCTAGCTGTCGTAAGTGTGGTCCGATACTTATTGTTTTAGAACTGCTGACAGAAATCACAGACGCCTCTCAACCAAACGAAGCACGCGAAAACGTGTAGAATAGAGGTCCTGTACTTAACCGCTGCATTAGTTAGGTGGAAGTAGAACTTAAGTGAACGCACATACACTGGGCCTCAAACTTAACCGCTGCAACAGATTGGTGGAGGTAGAACCTAAGTATATTCACAGACACTGGGCCTTTAACTAAACAGCTGCAACAGAGTGGTGGAAGTAGAACCTAAGTGAACGCACAGAAACTAGGCCTCAAAATACCCGCTGTAACAGATTGGTGGAGGTAGAACCTAAGTATATGCACAGACACTGGGCCTCAAACTTAACCACTGTAACAGATTGGTGGAGGTAGAACCTAAGTATATGCACAGACACTCGGACTTTAACTAAACCGCTGCAACAGATTTGTGGTGATAGAACCTAAGTGAACGCAGAGACACTGGGCCTAATGCTGACCACGTGCAACATTCCAATTCAATGATATTGCTTGGTGACAATGTTAATATATGTCAAGTACATAATTTAATAATAGTGATTGGTGAAAATGTACATGGTGTTCAAATAGATATATATCAATTATGATGCTTGAAAGCTTTATGACCATGAGTGTCAAATGTCCATCGTTTCAGTTTCCGACACGTGCCAGTGTGAGGTCGATTACGTCAAAGCAGACCACACGGTTTCAGGAAACATTTGCGGGTAAACAGAATCATATCTTATTTTTGTTTACATATAATCTCCTATAATTATGCAAATGTAGTCATCGGGCAGATACTCCTTTATATAAGCTCTATCCACGGACGCCCTGGATGCTTGATTTATGAACTGTTGTCTAACGTTCATAATACGTTTAACTCCCGGCGTGTTTGAGTTTCTGAAAACAAACACGGCAACCTGTTGCATTTCATTACAACATTGTTTCTAAATTAACTTCAGTGAATTTAATTACTTCCTTCACATAGATACGTTTAATAATGATGCTATATGATATAGAGATTATTACCCTCGCGTATCGCAACTACCATATTTAGGGAACAAACACATTTCCTCATGCACGATTTTACAATACGGAATAACAATCGGCTAGTGATGTCTATTTCTGTTATTTCCAATTTACCAACAATTTCATTAGTACCTGATGCTCATGCATAGTATAATGTTTCCACTGAATCGTCCAACTCTTGAGTTACATATTGAAGAGCTTGGTTATTCAATCAACTGTTAATTCTGTGAGTTCTGAACAGGTTTATTCTTCCCTTTGATAAGCTGATCATGGAACACGTATGGTGTATTTGTTACAGAGCAAAGACAGACTTCGTGGATTGTATGTCCCAGTCATTTGCAGTAGGCTGCGACGGAAGTAAACGACATGTCATTGCCCAAGCCTTGGACTTAGCCGCATGCCGTATGTATACTGACATTAACACAGACCACAATCAGACGTGCTTTGAGAATGATGTATAGTTATAGAATCAACTATACATAAATACATTGGTTAAATTCCCCACAGTTTGTCGGAGACCCAGAAGCGTCATAATAGCTAAGTCTAAGCCACGATATCATGATTCTTTGAGAGCCCTGAATTAAGAGATAAACCTGTTGTATCATTAACAAAGAGCTATGTTACGCGTAGATGTGACGGCGTTGTATTGACTCGGGAACCGAGCGCACAGCATGGTGATGTCATATCAACATAGATGTACATTAAAAGCACAGATGTATAGATATTCCACCATGTCAAATTGAAAGCAAACCTTTTGGTGTCCGTGACGATAATGTGTGAAGCGGCATGAATGGATGTGTTGAGATGGTTGCCGATTAAATTAAGTTAACACGATAGTGTGTGGCGCTGTCACTTACTTACTTACTCATATTGGAGATTTAACGTGCGCTTTCCGACTGCAAGCGCATGTCGCACACGGGCCCGGCCAGGCCATTTAATGTGTTTCCAAAGAGGGGAAAAGTGATTTTGTGCAACTCAGGAGGGGGGCTTAAGGGGTTGCTTATATAATAGTAATTTTGAGATTTTGAGATTTGGAAAGAATGCCAAGAGTGGGTGGGGGACGAACTAAGGGAGCTGTGTGTGTTGGGTGGTTGTCAGAAAAGGTAGTTTTGGTTTTAATATTTTATTTGGGGTTTAAATACGACTAATTAGTCCTGTTTTAATTAGGTATATGCCTAAGGCTTTGAATTTTTCTAATTTATTTTGTGGATTTAGGATTGATTCTAGTGCAAGTCCGGTTTTAAGATTTAGGGTGGTCTGTAGTGTTGCTCGGTGTGTTTGGTAGTGTGTGCAGTGAATGAGTACTGTTCTGGTGTTTCTTGTTGTTTGCAATGTGGGCAGTTTCCTGTTGTGTGTAGATTAGCTATTTTATGGTGATTATTTAGTTTGGTGTGGCCTGTTTGTAGTGCGCTGTCACTGCTCGGGCACTGGTCTTTACTTGATTGCGGTACGTTCCTGTCAGTCAGAGAGAAGCGTCAAGCTCTAAGTTTCCTGCTCTGTTGATAGATCTCTATCGTTATGTTGGTTGCAACTGATATATCCTTCTGTAGTGTTGGGTTCAGTTTATATATCCTTCTGTGGTATTGGTTTTAGTTAATATATCCTTCTGTTGTATTGGTTTCAGCTGATATATCCTGATGTATTAGTTACAGTTCATATATCATTCTGTTGTATTGGGTTCAGTTAATATATCCTTCTGTGGTATTGGTTTCAGTTAATATATCCTTCTGTGGTATTGGTTTCAGCTGATATATCCTATGTATTGGTTTCAGTTGATATATCCTGATGTATTGGTTTTCAGCTGATATGTCCTGATGTATTGGTTTCAGTGGATATATCCTGTTTATGTGTTTCAGCTAATATATCCTTCTGTTGTATTGGTTTCAGTTGATATATTCTTCTGCTGTATTGATTTCAGCTAATATATCCTTATGTATTGGTTTTAGTTGATATATACTGATTTATTGGTTTCAGTTACGATATCACTTAATAATGTTTTCAATTGAGATATCCTGTTGTATTGGTTTCAGTGGAAACATTCTTCTGCTGTACTGATTTCAGCTGATATACCCTTCTATTGTATTGGTTCCTGCTAATATATCCCTGTATTGTATTGGTTCATCTAATAAATCACACCGTTGTGTTTGTTTCAGTTGATTAACCTTCTGTTGTATTGGTTTCAGCTGCACGCTCGGGTGTATGCGCCTGTCAGGAGACATATGCCAAGGTAGACAACACGGACCTGACTGCCCATTGCACGTAAGTAGACTGACCCAATCATATGGTCTGTATAAGCCAGACACTCACAGATGTGTTGTTTATTCGGTGATATTGTGGCACAACGTATGTCTTGTTTTATGATCGTCACGCTTTTGTAAACATGAAATCAACAAAGTAGACTGGAGTATGAGACTGTGTGACAAGATCAACGTTGGACCAATACACGCCTCACTTACCTTTGTTATCAATATTCCCGTGATGTTCTCATTTGTGTGTGTGGCGGTTGGGTAGCCTAGTGGGTAAGCGTGCGCTCGTCACGTCAAGACCCGGTTCAATTCCCGACAGGGGTACAATGTGTAAAGCCCATTTCTGGTGTCCCCCACCCCGTGATATTGCTGAAATATTGCCAAAAGCGGCGTAACACCATACTCACTCACTCTCGTTTGTGTTACGCAGCGCAATTAAGGCTCATCTGGACTGCTTGAACACTGAGGTTGCTACAGCAGCCTGCAAGGCAGCTACAACTGTCCAGACACTGGCAGCTCTCATGGAAACACAGAGAGGGACGACGTCCGGCTGTGGTGAGAGACAGCGTTTCCATTTACGTTGAAAATATTTGGAAGTATAATATGATTTTAAAGAAATGACAACCCTAAAGATAACCCGACAGAGGATTTGTTTTCTATGATGTTTAAATGACACGCCATTGAACACTTATTGTCAATATTTGAATACGACCTTTTAAAAGACAGAAGTCTTTTGATTTCTTGTCAATTCCCATGTGCGCTGTTTTTGACCACTCGGAAAGTGTCGTTTTAGTGTTCTTATGTTCAGAAATTATATTTGACTAAGTATCGTAATTGTGTTGTTGTAAAGTATTAATACTGCTGATACAATGAACTGGTTCTTGTGTCCGTTGCTGTTACATTTATATCTGATAGAATAATGTCATGATATAACTGTTTGTATAAGTGTTTTATCATGAACATACAATCACGCACAATCTTAAATATATACATACAAGTTACAACTTATAATAACAAACAAAAACAATTCCAGTGCCAGGATAGCAAGAACTGATTGGAATAAGTTAGGGTAGATTAAAGCTCGAGGTTTCACTGTATAGTGTATTCGAATAAATAATTAATTACACACGGTTTTTTTAACAGCCACCCTGACGTCAACTTGTCAATGTCAAGTCAATTACCTGAAACACACACGCTCAAATGATCCAGAAACGTGCACGTGAGTCCGAATCTGACATATTTTGCAAAATACATTTGTTTATTTGTTTGTGTTTATTTCAGGTTTCTTCTTAAATAAACTGTATTCAATTGAGAACACGTGTTTGATTAAAAAATAAATAGTTTATGTTGAATGTTATGATAAAATGTGTTAACAATTGTTGTTTTCTTTTAATAGTGTTGTTGATGATGATGATGATGATAAAAGTTGATGATGATGGAGATGCACTCGGCGTATGTAATTGATAAAAATGAGAAGTTATTAGTAAGTTGAAAACGTGCCTTTAGAAATAGTTTTGAGGAAATTCAAAGGTCAGTTTACTGGGCCAATAATGGAAAATGGGTTCTAACTGAGGTCAAGTTCCTTGACAATAGGTATAACATATACCAGTTGATTTGAATGAAATTCAAGAAGTCCAGAAGGATAACCATCAATTTCGTTCAGAGAGTGAGGGGTTGAAAATCACATTGGAAATACTTTAGCGTATTCTCCAGGTTGAGTATACAGTTTCACCTGAACTATTTAAGGTTGTGTACCGTACACCTTACACAATATAAATTAGTACTAGCTGATTGTACACATGTCTCTGTGCTTACCTGAAGGGTTTGGTATACACTTCTGTTCTGCAGCGCTAGCAAGGTGCGGCTGGATTGTCTGATGACGGCAAAGGACAATGCATGTGATGGCACAACTCCAAGGAACACCCTTGTCACGGCTGTAAAAACACCTCCAACCTCTTGCACGTTCAGTAAGATCATTTATTTCTGAAGAATCAAACCACGGTTTATTAAGATAAACATAAATATGAAAAACTGCAGAAGAATATTGATAAGATTCATAATCATTTCATTAAGCGGGTAGTTTTCTTTCTGGATCATATAATTGTTTCAGTAGGCACAGTAGATGGTGTCGTCTAAAGAGTCGCATTCTTCTATGAAGAAATGTGGATTTCCTAATCGTGGGTTCGAATCCAAGAGATTCACCCTGTTTATGGCCTTAACACAACGCTGCCGGCACTAAACCCATTGTCGTAGGTTTTACCTGAAGGTTAGTCTGTCATACAGACCCTGAAACAAATATATCCAATGCAGCCCATGCAAGTCTATAACGTTTGGCAAGTCTAAATTGCCACAGTATCTGAAAGTGTAGGAAGTCTCTGTGCTCCTTTTATTATATGTTATAACTATAATTTAACAACTGTTTTTTTCGGTAAAATATGTTCATTTCAGAGACTAGATGTCTATCGAAAAGGTTAAACGTCTACGATAGCATCACGTTTAACTCTTTTACGTCGTGAAATAACTGAAACTCGATTCAACTCACTCACTCACTCATTAATGTTTTCTGGGTCATTCACAGTGCTCGATCTCTCTCAGAAACTAGGAACTGTTTAACCTTGTTTCAGTGGCTACCTGCACTGGTTGCATGATTCCTTATGGCGAGGCTGCATATACAGATGCTACGGCTCATTGTGGGTAAGTATATTTGTGAAATATACATGCGTCTCTCATGGTGACGCTAAATGTCCTCTTCAATCATGAAATACTCTAAGACATGGTGTGATTTGTTTGTTTTAGACATGCCCACAGCCACCATATTGAAAATCTTACAAAACCGTGTAGTTAACCTCGCACCCAAGATTGCACAAATTGTAACATTTCCCACTCTTGTAAATGTAACACACAGGGTCATAGCTTATCGGCTCTTGTAAATGTATCACTATGAGGCGTGACTCTTGTAAATGTATCACCATGAGGCGTGACTCTTGTAATGTATCATCATGAGGCGTAACTCTTGTAATGTATCACTATGAGGCGTGACTCTTGTAAATGTATCATCATGAGGCGTAACTCTTGTAATGTATCACCATGAGGCGTAACTCTTGTAAATGTATCATCATGAGGCGTAACTCTTGTAATGTATCACTATGAGGCGTGACTCTTGTGAATGTATCATCATGAGGCGTAACTCTTGTAATGTATCACCATGAGGCGTAACTCTTGTAAATGTATCATCATGAGGCTTAACTCTTGTAATGTATCACCATGAGGCGTATCTCTTGTAAATGTATCACCATGAGGCGTAACTCTTGTAATGTATCACCATGAGGCGTAACTCTTGTAAATGTATCATCATGAGGCGTAACTCTTGTAATGTATCACCATGAGGCGTAACTCTTGTAAATGTATCACCGTGAGGCGTAACTCTTGTAATGTATCACCGTGAGGCTTAACTCTTGTAATGTATCACCATGAGGCGTAACTCTTGTAAATGTATCATCATGAGGCTTAACTCTTGTATTGTATCACCATGAGGCGTAACTCTTGTAAATGTATCATCATGAGGCGTAACTCTTGTAATGTATCACCATGAGGCGTGACTCTTGTGAATGTATCATCATGAGGCGTAACTCTTGTAATGTATCACCATGAGGCGTAACTCTTGTAAATGTATCATCATGAGGCTTAACTCTTGTAATGTATCACCATGAGGCGTATCTCTTGTAAATGTATCATCATGAGGCGTAACTCTTGTAATGTATCACCATGAGGCGTAACTTTTGTAAATGTATCACCATGAGGCGTAACTCTTGTAATGTATCACCATGAGGCTTAACTCTTGTAATGTATCACCATGAGGCGTAACTCTTGTAAATGTATCATCATGAGGCTTAACTCTTGTATTGTATCACCATGAGGCGTAACTCTTGTAAATGTATCATCATGAGGCGTAACTCTTGTAATGTATCACCATGAGGCGTAACTCTTGTAAATGTATCATCATGAGGCTTAACTCTTGTATTGTATCACCATGAGGCGTAACTCTTGTAAATGTATCATCATGAGGCGTAACTCTTGTAATGTATCACCATGAGGCGTAACTCTTGTAAATGTATCACTATGAGGCGTGACTCTTGTAAATGTATCACCGTGAGGCGTGACTCTTGTAAATGTATCACCTTGAGGCGTAACTCTTGTAAATGTATCACCATGAGGCGTAACTCTTGTAATGTATCACCATGAGGCGTGACTCTTGTAAATGTATCATCATGAGGCGTAACTCTTGTAATGTATCACCATGAGGCGTAACTGTTGTAAATGTATCACTATGAGGCGTGACTCTTGTAAATGTATCACCATGAGGCGTGACTCTTGTAAATGTATCACCTTGAGGCGTAACTCTTGTAAATGTATCACCATGAGGCGTAACTCTTGTAATGTATCACCATGAGGCGTGACTCTTGTAATGTATCACCATGAGGCTTAACTCTTGTAATGTGTAACCATGAGGCCTGACTCTTGTAATGTATCACCGTGAGGCGTAACTCTTGTAATGTATCACCATGAGGCGTGACTCTCATAAATGTATCACCATGAGACGTAACTCTTGTAATGTATCACCTTGAGGCGTAACTGTTGTAAATGTATCACCATGAGGCGTGACTCTCATAAATGTATCACCATGAGGCGTAACTCTTGTAATGCATCACCTTGAGGCGTAACTCTTGCAAATGTATCATCATGAGGCGTTACTCTTGTAAATGTATCACCATGAGACGTAGCTCTTGTAAATGTATCACCTTGAGACGTAACTCTTGTAAATGTATCACCGTGAGGCGTGACTCTTGTAATATATCATCATGATGCGTATCTTTTGTAATGTATCACCGTGAGGCGTGACTCTTGTAAATGTATCACCATGAGGCGTTACTCTTGTAATGTATCACCTTGAGGCGTAACTCTTGCAAATGTATCACCGTGAGGCGTGACTCTTGTAAATGTATCACCATGAGGCGTAACTCTTGTAAATGTATCACCATGAGGCGTAACTGTTGTAAATGTATCACCTTGAGACGTAACTCTTGTAAATGTATCACCGTGAGGCGTGACTCTTGTAATATATCATCATGATGCGTATCTTTTGTAATGTATCACCAAGAGGCGTGACTCTTGTAAATGTATCACCATGAGGCGTAACTGTTGTAAATGTATCACCGTGAGGCGTAACTCTTGTAATGTATCACCGTGAGGCGTGACTCTTGTAAATGTATCACCATGAGGCGTAACTCTTGTAATGTATCACCGTGAGGCTTAACTCTTGTAATGTATCACCATGAGGCGTAACTCTTGTAAATGTATCATCATGAGGCTTAACTCTTGTATTGTATCACCATGAGGCGTAACTCTTGTAAATGTATCATCATGAGGCGTAACTCTTGTAATGTATCACCATGAGGCGTAACTCTTGTAAATGTATCACTATGAGGCGTGACTCTTGTAAATGTATCACCGTGAGGCGTGACTCTTGTAAATGTATCACCTTGAGGCGTAACTCTTGTAAATGTATCACCATGAGGCGTAACTCTTGTAATGTATCACCATGAGGCGTGACTCTTGTAAATGTATCATCATGAGGCGTAACTCTTGTAATGTATCACCATGAGGCGTAACTGTTGTAAATGTATCACTATGAGGCGTGACTCTTGTAAATGTATCACCATGAGGCGTGACTCTTGTAAATGTATCACCTTGAGGCGTAACTCTTGTAAATGTATCACCATGAGGCGTAACTCTTGTAATGTATCACCATGAGGCGTGACTCTTGTAATGTATCACCATGAGGCTTAACTCTTGTAATGTGTAACCATGAGGCCTGACTCTTGTAATGTATCACCGTGAGGCGTGACTCTTGTAATGTATCACCATGAGGCGTGACTCTCATAAATGTATCACCATGAGACGTAACTCTTGTAATGTATCACCTTGAGGCGTAACTGTTGTAAATGTATCACCATGAGGCGTGACTCTCATAAATGTATCACCATGAGGCGTAACTCTTGTAATGCATCACCTTGAGGCGTAACTCTTGCAAATGTATCATCATGAGGCGTTACTCTTGTAAATGTATCACCATGAGACGTAGCTCTTGTAAATGTATCACCTTGAGACGTAACTCTTGTAAATGTATCACCGTGAGGCGTGACTCTTGTAATATATCATCATGATGCGTATCTTTTGTAATGTATCACCGTGAGGCGTGACTCTTGTAAATGTATCACCATGAGGCGTTACTCTTGTAATGTATCACCTTGAGGCGTAACTCTTGCAAATGTATCACCGTGAGGCGTGACTCTTGTAAATGTATCACCATGAGGCGTAACTCTTGTAAATGTATCACCATGAGGCGTAACTGTTGTAAATGTATCACCTTGAGACGTAACTCTTGTAAATGTATCACCGTGAGGCGTGACTCTTGTAATATATCATCATGATGCGTATCTTTTGTAATGTATCACCAAGAGGCGTGACTCTTGTAAATGTATCACCATGAGGCGTAACTGTTGTAAATGTATCACCGTGAGGCGTAACTCTTGTAATGTATCACCGTGAGGCGTGACTCTTGTAAATGTATCACCGTGAGGCGTAACTGTTGTAAATGTATCACCGTGAGGCGTTACTCTTGTAAATGTATCACCATGAGGCGTAACTGTTGTAAATGTATCACCGTGAGGAGTAACTCTTGTAATGTATCACCGTGAGGCGTGACTCTTGTAAATGTATCACCATGAGGCGTAACTGTTGTAAATGTATCACCGTGAGGCGTAACTGTTGTAAATGTATCACCGTGAGGCGTAACTCTTGTAATGTATCACCGTGAGGCGTGACTCTTGTAAATGTATCACCATGATGCGTAACTGTTGTAAATGTATCACCGTGAGGCGTAACTCTTGTAATGTATCACCGTGAGGCGTGACTCTTGTAAATGTATCACCATGATGCGTAACTGTTGTAAATGTATCACCGTGAGGCGTAACTCTTGTAATGTATCACCATGAGGCGTGACTCTTGTAAATGTATCACCTTGAGGCGTAACTGTTGTAAATGTATCACCATGAGGCGTAACTGTTGTAAATGTATCACCGTGAGGCGTAACTCTTGTAATGTATCACCGTGAGGCGTGACTCTTGTAAATGTATCACCGTGAGGCGTAACTCTTGTAATGTATCACCATGAGGCGTGACTCTTGTAAATGTATCACCTTGAGGCGTAACTGTTGTAAATGTATAACCATGAGGCGTTACTGTTGTAAATGTATCACCGTGAGGCGTAACTCTTGTAATGTATCACCGTGAGGCGTAACTCTTGTAATGTATCACCGTGAGGCGTGACTCTTGTAATGTATCACCGTGAGGCGTGACTCTTGTAAATGTATCACCGTGAGGCGTAACTGTTGTAAATGTATCACCGTGAGGCGTAACTCTTGTAATGTATCACCGTGAGGCGTGACTCTTGTAAATGTATCACCATGATGCGTAACTGTTGTAAATGTATCACCGTGAGGCGTAACTCTTGTAATGTATCACCGTGAGGCGTGACTCTTGTAAATGTATCACCATGAGGCGTAACTGTTGTAAATGTATCACCGTGAGGCGTTACTCTTGTAAATGTATCACCATGAGGCGTAACTGTTGTAAATGTATCACCGTGAGGCGTAACTCTTGTAATGTATCACCGTGAGGCGTGACTCTTGTAAATGTATCACCATGAGGCGTAACTGTTGTAAATGTATCACCATGAGGCGTAACTGTTGTAAATGTATCACCGTGAGGCGTAACTCTTGTAATGTATCACCGTGAGGCGTGACTCTTGTAAATGTATCACCTTGAGGCGTAACTGTTGTAAATGTATCACCGTGAGGCGTAACTCTTGTAATGTATCACCATGAGGCGTGACTCTTGTAAATGTATCACCATGAGGCGTAACTGTTGTAAATGTATCACCGTGAGGCGTTACTCTTGTAAATGTATCACCATGAGGCGTAACTGTTGTAAATGTATCACCCTGAGGCGTAACTCTTGTAATGTATCACCATGAGGCGTGACTCTTGTAATGTATCACCGTGAGGCGTGACTCTTGTAAATGTATCACCATGAGGCGTAACTGTTGTAAATGTATCACCGTGAGGCGTAACTCTTGTAAATGTATCACCATGAGGCGTAACTGTTGTAAATGTATCACCGTGAGGCGTAACTCTTGTAATGTATCACCGTGAGGCGTGACTCTTGTAAATGTATCACCATGAGGCGTAACTGTTGTAAATGTATCACCGTGAGGCTTAACTCTTGTAATGTATCACCGTGAGGCGTGACTCTTGTAAATGTATCACCATGAGGCGTAACTGTTGTAAATGTATCACCGTGAGGCGTAACTCTTGTAATGTATCACCGTGAGGCGTGACTCTTGTAAATGTATCACCATGAGGCGTAACTCTTGTAAATGTATCACCATGAGGCGTAACTGTTGTAAATGTATCACCGTGAGGCGTAACTCTTGTAATGTATCACCATGATGCGTAACTGTTGTAAATGTATCACCGTGAGGCGTTACTCTTGTAATGTATCACCGAGAGGCGTAACTCTTGTAAATGTATCACCTGAGGTCGTAGCTTGTCGGGTCTTGTAAAAATCCAAACTCAAGACATTTGTCACTATTGTAAATATGCATACATTTAAAAAGGTATTTGCCACAAAGAATACGGAACAAATAAAATCACTATGCCTGTTTATTATCATGCTTACGAAAGAAGAAAGTATTTGCTGAACAATATTTAAAATGATGTATATTGCCACAACCATACTTCATAATGTGTTTTTTTATATGGGCCTGTTCGTCTGCCTTGTTCGTCCTAAAGCAGGAATCAAGTTAAGGGATTCACAGTTAACGAAGGCTCGTTGAATTTTCTGTTTCACATTACATTATTTATTCGTTTGTAGGTCGCTGAAAACATTAATGCAATGCCTTGATGACAAAACAATCTTCACCGACACCGGCTGTGATGACACCAAGACCATAAGTGTGCTCGTAAACAGCTTTTCTTCAGATGTGGCGGCATGTACATGTAAGAAATTGAATAGAGATCCCACTGTCTATGTTTATACAGGTGCTATTATGCGAGGATAGATTATACTGGTTCATCAGCCTACCAATGCGTAAGCTATGTACAATCTACCAACCTGTTGCTCTCTCTGTTTATACACTACCTTTAATGTGAATGTATGCTATAACGGTACTAATGAACAATCTACCAATCTGTTCCTTTATACACAGCTTTAATGTGACTGATTGCTTTAAAGGTTCTAATGAACAATCTACCTATCTGTTCCTTTCCCTGCTTATATACTAGTAGTATCACCATATTGCCCACAAGGATACAGATTTATGGCTCACTTTATGTTTCCGCAGTGTCTGCAACTTGTACATGCCAGGTGAATTACATGAAATCTCCGGGAGCAACAGCCGCCGATAAATGCACGTGAGTCGCCATTTTACATTTATGGTTACAAGGTCAATCTGAAGCTGTTGCCCTACATAAACTACGACATACTGATGTGTACCCTGTTGCCCTACATGGACTACGACATACTAATGTGTACCCTGTGGCCCTACATAAACTACGACATACTAATGTGTACCCTGCGGCCCTACATAACCTACGACATACTAATGTGTACCCTGTGGCCCTACATGGACTACGACATACTAATGTGTACCCTGTGGCCCTACATAACCTACGACATACTAATGTGTACCCTGTGGCCCTACATAACCTACGACATACTAATGTGTACCCTGTGGCCCTACATAAACTACGACATACTGATGTGTACCCTGTGGCCCTACATAAACTACGACATACTGATGTGTACCCTGTGGCCCTACATAACCTACGACATACTGATGTGTACCCTGTGGCCCTACATAAACTACGACATACTGATGTGTACCCTGTGGCCCTACATAAACTACGACATACTGATGTGTACCCTGTGGCTGTACATAAACTACGACGTTCTAGCGTGTACACTGTGGCCCAACATAGACTACGAAGTTCTAATGTGTACCCTGTGGACCTACCATAGACTATGACGTTCTCATGTAAACCCTGTAAATATATTGCAGTCCAAAGGTTGTATCTATGTAAGACGTCTCATTTATCCGGATATATATGTCCTATTCATATCATTTCAGAGCTTTAACAACTAAGATGCATTGTCTCGACAAAACTGCGGAGACCTCTTGTGACGGCACCAAGCGAAGAGATGAAGTCGCTACTGCAGTTGATACAGCCATTGTTGATGGCGGCACTATACCGTTATCGGCATCATGTAGAACAGGTACACTCAGTTAGTGCAATTGCAGGCGGCGTGTTTTGCTACTAAAAGTCAGTTCGAGATCTGTTTTAGGCGTATGTTAGTTGTAATCAACATGTCTTTTTCTGATACGTGCTTACAAGTGAACGTCCTTTGGAATGTCAGACTTAGGCAAAGGTGCAATCTAAAAGTGCAAAGCATGTTGTTGAACGTGGTGTATTTTCTAAAGATCATTGGTTGATTTGAAGTCAAATACATTTTTCCGATAGATGGGGCTCGTATTCGTGTTTAATAGATCTTCTGTCCCCCAAAGTGAAGTGCAAATGGTGACCGTTAACTGTTGTAACAGATATAGGCACGTGTTATGTGGAATAGGCACAATACATTTTGATGATGATTTATTATTATTGTTTTTGTTATTGCTATTGTTATTATTAACAGATATCACGGCTACATGCGACTGCCAAACAACTTACGCCAAAACTAACCCGACTGGAGACTGTGCGTATGTATTGGTTATTTCTTGAAGGCGCACACATCGTAGGCAGGGTCTATGCCTCGTAGTCAGTTATATAACCACGTGTAGAGAACACATTGTTGATACCAAAGTGGTGGTAACATATCGGGATGTGTAAATGTCCAATATCAATACTCATTATCTCCTGATAGACGGCACTTTGCTTAGGCGAACTGAATAAAAGAAACGAGCTATGCATGGGACGTTTTGTTTGATAAATTCACCAGATCCTGTAAAACAGCCATCCTAACTCATACTATCAAGACCAATGGCAATTCCGGGTTATGATTGGTCCCCAGCAACCTATGCCATTCGGGCTCGGTGACTTGTTTGATTGCATGTCATCGTATTCCATTGCGTTGATCGATGCTCTTGATGTAATGACAGGATCAACAATATAGTTCTTCATCACATGCCTGAATGCCATTTATTAAAATCACCCTCGTGACATAAGAACATGTCTTAAGCCTTTGTTTAACTGAATTACAGCTAGAACCACCATTTTCATCCTTGTGAACATGTAATTTATGCACAGTTTTACATCTTTGGTTAGTCAGCAGTGCAGACAATTGAACAACTATAAGATCACCAAAGCGTACAATTCCCTTTGGAGATATTGTGGACAACTGAGCTTACATTTGCGGGCGTGCTTCACAGTCTCTTTGTGTATACAAAGTTTGAAAGAGGTGCTATTTTGTGTCTGTTCACAGGGCTTTGTACGCGAAAATCGAGTGTATTGTTGGGGGTAAAACTTCTGCCTGTTTGACGAGCGAGAAACCAGTCGCAGTCGCCACTGAAACCGTCAGTGATATAAACACCCTCGGAGCCAGTTGTACAGGCAGTAAGTAAAATATGTTTGTGAGAGTATTTAGGATACTTTATGAAGTGTATATAACAGTATATGTACTTTAGGATGTTTCATTAAGGAAGTTTGAAAATGGAATATTGACACGAGTGCCACCGGTGGTGCAGAAAACTCCCTTTTCTCGAACACCTGGCCTGATCATGACATGACAGTGCTTCATAAATACATGGTCGTGATCAAGTCGGAATCGTACAACGGATGTTGGTGTCAGCAGATATGTCTTATGATTATGGACAGGGTTTTGTTGCTTTGATTTAAAGTGTTCTATTTTGAAAGGGAAGCACTTGTGAAACATATTACTGATCTCTTCCTCGCAGGACTACACAAATTAAAACCGCTTGATTTTACTTGAAATTGTTGAACTTCTATGTATTCTATATAAATGAATTTCTATGCAATATGTCCCTCCTTACGGCAGTTGGTGTATATATGAAATTATGTATTTGTGACTAAATATATTTTTCGTAGCGGAGAAGGATACCTGTACCTGCCAGAAAACATTAGCCCTAGTGGATATCCTGCTTGGAGATACACAACATTGCACGTAAGTTGACTTTGAACATCCAGCTGGGAAAAAGTGTGTGCCTGTGCCTGATTGTACGATCTAGTCCACGTGCCTATTCATTGTAATTCTCTTCTACACTTACAGTGCTCTAGTGGCAGCGCCGTTGTGACTGTTCATTATAATTCCCTCTTACACTAACAGTGCCCTTGTGGTAGAGTCGTTGTGTCTGTTCACTGTAATAATGATTGCATCCTACACTTACAATACTCAAGTAGCAGCGTTGTTGTGCCTATTCATTGTAATTCTCTTCTACACTTACAGTGCCCAAGTAGCAGCGTTGTTGTGCCTATTCATTGTAATACTCTTCTACACTGACGGTGCTCTAGTGGCAGCGCTGTTGTGCTTATTCATTGTAATACTCTTCTACACTTACAGTGCTCTAGTGGCAGCGTTGTTGTGCCCATTCATTGTAATTCTACCCTACACTAACAGTGCTCTAGTGGCAGCGCTGTTGTGCCTATTCATTGTAATTCTCTTCTACACTTACAGTGCTCTAGTGGCAGCGCCTTTTGTGCCTATTCATTGTAATTCTCTTCTACACTTACAGTGCTCTAGTGGCAGCGTTGTTGTGCCTATTCATTGCAATTCTCTTCTACACTTACAGTGCTCTAGTGGCAGCGCCTTTTGTGCCTATTCATTGTAATTCTCTTCTACACTTACAGTGCTCTAGTGGCAGCGTTGTTGTGCCTATTCATTGTAATTCTCTTCTACACTTACAGTGCTCTAGTGGCAGCGTTGTTGTGCCTATTCATTGTAATTCTCTTCTACACTTACAGTGCTCTAGTGGCAGCGCTGTTGTGCCTATTCATTGTAATTCTCTTCTACACTTACAGTGCTCTAGTGGCAGCGTTGTTGTGCCTATTCATTGCAATTCTCTTCTACACTTACAGTGCTCTAGTGGCAGCGTTGTTGTGCCTATTCATTGTAATTCTCTTCTACACTTACAGTGCTCTAGTGGCAGCGCTGTTGTGCCTATTCATTGTAATTCTCTTCTACACTTACAGTGCTCTAGTGGCAGCGTTGTTGTGCCTATTCATTGTAATTCTCTTCTACACTTACAGTGCTCTAGTAGCAGCGCTGTTGTGCCTATTCATTGTAATTCTCTTCTACACTTACAGTGCTCTAGTGGCAGCGCTGTTGTGCCTATTCATTGTAAATCTCTTCTACACTTACAGTGCTCCAGTGGCAGCGTTGTTGTGCCTATTCATTGTAATTCTCTTCTACACTTACAGTGCTCTAGTAGCAGCGCTGTTGTGCCTATTCATTGTAATTCTCTTCTACACTTACAGTGCTCTAGTGGCAGCGCTGTTGTGCCTATTCATTGTAAATCTCTTCTACACTTACAGTGCTCTAGTGGCAGCGCTGTTGTGCCTATTCATTGTAAATCTCTTCTACACTTACAGTGCTCTAGTGGCAGCGCTGTTGTGCCTATTCATTGTAATTCTCATTTACACTTACAGTGCTCTAGTGGCAGCGCTGTTGTGTCTGAAGGGGAAGACGAACACTGGCTGTAATGTGGCGACAGTGGACGGGCTGGACGTCCAGTGGAAGAAGGATATAGATACAATCGGTACAACAAACTGCGGTAAGCTTATATAAAAGTGTTCTATGTACTTAGGGATATATAAACCATGTTTGCATGCATGTGTCATGTGCCACTTAGGACATGATCATTCCATGGTGCACATATGTCAGTATTTCTCAGATGCCCATAAAAAAATGTAGAAAAAGTTTAAGGTTCGTACACGTAAATATTTATCGTGTTTCCCCGATGACATCTATGTAATAAATTTGATGCGATACTCAAGACATATATAAACATTCTTGATATACTCACAGTGATAATAACAAAAGTTCAAGTGCAAATATGAAAAGACGATATTCTGGTTCACAGGATCGAAGCATTACAAATATGCGCTTATTTATCTTGAATGTAAATACGTTCAATGATGTTAACAGATTGGATAAAGGAATCCAATGAGCTCTGACGATCTTGTCTTCAAAGACAAGCACCTTGTTGCATATAAACTTTGAATTGAAAAAGTTGTGCCTTTCAGCTCAGTCCGATACATGCGTCTGTGAGGTAGCCTACGCAAAGTCTGATTTGTCCGATCTGCAAAAGAAATGCGAGTGAGTAGAATTAATTACTGAGTTCAATTATTACATTATGACAGTTGTGTACTATGTTTTTTTAATTCACTATTTTGATAACTAACGGATAAGCACAAATACTGTTCATAAATAAAATATAAATAAGATTTTTCTTTCATTGTACATATACAAGTTGATACATGACATGTTTCTATTTGTCAGTGCGTGGCTAGTAGAGTTAGGCTGTCTAAGAACAACAACTGCTGTAGGTTGTGACGGATCCTCAACAAAAGCGGAGATCGACACAGCAATCAAAACAAAAATGAACGCTGCAACATCGGTTGGCGGTGCAACTAGCGACAAATGTAGTAAGTCCCGGGTGATGTGAGAATGATGCATCTGTCAAAATACGTGTTACTTCTGCTATTTTCTGTGTCCTCTTATAAGAAGGCATCACACTTACACAAACCATTGAAACCCAAGAATCAAGTCAGCGTCAGCCCAGTCGCCTAAAGCGCCGCAAGTTGTCCAAGGCTGCGCCCCGGAGCTGTATCATAACATGATAATGATACGATTCGTCCTGATTATGACCATTGGTTTGTCAGCACCAAATGTTTCAGACCTGAATCACATCGAGCTTTTCTCAAACCTTTAGATAACACATTGTTAAGTACAAGAAGTACTGTTTCAAGGATTGCAGAACTCAACTCACTCGTTCATCAACTCTTTTTAGAAATGTCTTCTTGTTCAGCGTCCATGATTTCACCAGCAAGAAAATATGTTGTTGAAAATGATCTGACTTGAGTGCAAGAGAGTTGTTTGTTTCTGTAGGTAAACAAATCATTTGAGTCGTAATAAATGCTTTCACAAATATATATACAGAAATGTTGTCACTGTCGCATATCTTTAAAAAACCTGTTTCCGTGTTGAGGCATCCAATGTAGACTTGGTCAGTAAATAAGACGCACGTCGGGTCGTAAAAAGCCTCTTTCATAGGTCCATCCAGCCTTCTAGAAACTGTCCAATCCCGAAACTTCTCGAACGACCCCGAAAACTGTCATGTTCATGTATACAATAGCAACAAATTATTCTGTCGTCATTCAAAGATTCACCGGTCCATTCCGATAGCTACATAATAGCCTGAACAGGGTGTCCGAATTGGAAGAGGCGGTCAGGCTGGGTGACTTGGTTGATGGCGTGGCCCCGACGGCGTGGATCGTTGCTCACATCGACAACTGGCTTGTCTGGTCCATTTATTTACATGTACAGGCCGCCGTTAAATAGCTGGATATTGCTGAGTGCGGTGTTAAACAACAAACAAACCACTCGCTGCACCCGACAACACTCGACATTTTAACAGCGCTTTAATAATTTGCTGCCCTTTACAATTACTGCAAATGTACTTACAAGATGTTCTACAGCCACTAATATTACATTATTACAGAAAACTGCTATAAGGCATCAAAATACACTCATGTTAAAATGGACTTTAAATTGCGGACCCAAGACAATTACAATTGCGATTATTATCATCATTTTCAATGTGGTTTATATGTCTCGGGAGGTTTCTCAGGGTATTGTAAGGATTGTATCTAGTCAGTTTCTTCATGATCTATTCAACGTTACACAAACTGCTTGACGTGTTAATACTGGTGTTAAGTGCTCAGCACGTTTCGTGAACAGCATGAACTATAATTACGCCATCTTCATGTATTTTAACTTGATTACATTTCAGCTACCAATCCAGTTTGCCTATGTGAAATCGCTTACGCTGTTGCCCTCAAAGATACCGATGCAAACAAATGCACGTAAGTTACTTTAGTGTCCATTAACACATGATGCTGTATACATGGTTATGCAGCTCATCTTGTCAGTCAATATAGAATTGGTCATTGGTCAAAGAACAGGACTAGGATTGCACAGTAATCCTTTCTGGATGATTGGTAAATAAAGGTGATGTGATATAAACGGTATACAAACGGTAGAGGAGTTGAACATAAACTATTTTTACTATGGACAGTATACAACAACACTCTGTGTTACGTTTGTGTGAGATACAAACAACATAAATGAGCAGAACGCATACTCACATGTCACAAATACGCTGTACATTATGTGCATTATATGATGGGTAAAGGAGACATCCAATAAACTCTTCAGTATGAAAAGGACATGCTTCTTCCAAAGGAATGTCAAAAACCTTCTACATTTTGTGCACAAATCACAGTTAAAAAGCTATGATCACATATATTCCCTTCTCTATGATTACATATATTCCCTTCTCTGTGTAAATAAAGAAAAGCGACAAAACACGACTATATCATGAGCATGTGTTTGTGAATCACTATCAAATAGTGATGAAACCCAGCGTTCGTGAAAGGTGAGCGTATCCTGCCCCACCAGTTGCATCCTTCATAAACACATGCAAAGGAATGTCAAACAATCTCTACATTATGTGAAGGAAGTACAATAGCGGATGATTATGAAAGGATTTTATCCCCTTTATTCACGTCCTGAACGAGACACAGACACGGAAAGCACCTAGGAATGGTAGCTTTGTGCAAGTTACCTTTGCTTTATTATTGTTACTGATGCAGGTAACAGCTGAAGTATATAATATTGCATGAGAAAAGAAGGCGCCCCACTTACTAACAGCATGCTACTGGTACAGATTACTGACTTCCAAGCTAAACTGGTTCGGTAACTTAGATTATGGTACTGATTTTTAAAATAGATGTTAATAATTATACTGGCTGTGACATGTATAAGCTATACTATTAATAAAATAGATCTTGATATTATTCCTGAATTATGATTTTAATATTTCTCTTTTATGACACAAACAATAGACTATCAAACCATCCCCATACCTCCTTATCCGTTAAGGCAACGATGATTATTTAAGTACATTCTTGACGCTGGATGCAAGTAAGGATCATCTTGACAAATCTGAAATTAATCTGACTTGATGATAGCATGAAACTGGTCATGTGTCGAAACGATGTCGAGCTGAACTGAAAAAGCAAGTGACCAGATACAAATTATGTCATAACTTTACTATAATTTACAGCGCTTTGAAAACCTACGTGTCATGTTTGGCTGGCGAGACAGTCAGTGGTTGTGACGGCACTACAAAGCCATGGGACTTGGCTGCAGCTGCTAAGTCTTCCCTTGACACTATCGGTACCACTAACTGTCGTAAGTAAACATTTTCAGCAACAAACAATCATTAATTGTTTATGTCAATTGTCTTAGAGCAGGACATGCTCATCAGTATGGCACATACGTGAGTGTAATAACTGCTTTTTTACCCATTATTTCTTGATTCTGTTTAGAAAAAGACACTGATCACCACCTATGTCTCAGAAAAACACAATTTGTCGAATGACGTCAACAATATTCAGCTGTAACATTGACCTAGTGTGACGTAATTTCGACCTTACGCCACAATAAGATTCGAATGACGTCAACTATGCCTTTTGAATGACGGAAACAATAACCTGGTTGACGAGAAGTGATGTTTGCGCCAGTGCACATACGGTTTTTATTAACTCTGTTATGTCTAACCCTATAGGTAATAGATATGGAATATATGACCTCACCAAAGCTTCCGCGATACATGTTTTGGCATTAATGAATTTTGAAAACTACGTTTCAGTTGATTCTTCTCCTCGCTTTTCTTTGCATCACAAGGACAAAAGAATATTTAAAAGTATGATCACTCTTCACAAGCATTATTTATGGCATTGTGAATCTTTATGTTTTTTTCCTAACCATGATCACTTTTCAAAGTATAACATTTAACATTACACATCTGTTGTATTTCAGCTTTGACTACAACGTGTTTATGTGAAATAGACTATGCATCGACTGTCATCGACGATGACACTAAAAAGTGCAGGTATGTATGATTTAGAGTATCCATATATAAGAATAGCAACGTGAAATTTTAAGAGAGATCATTTTGCCGGCAGGCCATAATGTTTATAAGCCGACAAACATACTGTTACATATATAATACAAATTAAGGACTATGTTTGTTTGTTGTTTAACGCCGAACTCTGCAACGTCCAAGCTATATGACGGCGATCTGTACATAGACAACCCATCATGAGCATCGATATATGCAATTAGGATATGATGACATGCATCAGCGATCCTGTCTACTCTTAAGACAAGTATGGGTTGCTGAAAATTATTTCTACCCCGGATCTTCACGGGGTAAGGCGGAGTGTGCCATAGGTAGCAACAATACATGCCTCAGTATACAATTATGAATCAGAATATTACTTACAACATTATAATCACGTCATTTACAGCGCTCTGAAGACCAACTTGGACTGTGTTATTAAGTCATCAACTGCATCGTGTGATGGAACGGCTCGTCACACCTATGCCGGTAGTATTAAGAGCGCCATGGATGGTACAACAGGCTGCCCTGCCAGTAAGTAGTAGTGCCTCGCTATCACTCACTGTCTCTCTTTGTCGCTATCATTATCTATCTCTCCCACTATTGTTGATGATCTACGACGGGTCAAATAGTGTCATTCAAGTTTATCCATGTTCCCAGTTTCTCTGCTTCTATGTCACCAGTTATTATCGAGTTTCTTGTCTTGTTTCAGCTTATGCAAGTGCCGGAATTTGTAAAGATTGTGTGATTCCTTTTGCCCCAGCAGCAACAACATGCACGTAAGTCCTGCACACGTGTTTATATTGAATACGTGTATATATATTGAATGTATATAAGGGTTGAATATGTAACTATACATTGGTTTCATTCGATTGTGTATAATAAGACGAGCGCCTTCCTTTTTTGAATAACATAAAGCATTTGGTGAAAAACGTACGTGGACTCAGTGCTACTAACCTTTGATCATTGCAGTAAACAATTTCATGTAATGAAGCACAATGCCTTTGGCATACAGCATCAAGTGTTGACTGCTTTAACGTAATAATCATGTGTGACGACCATTACTTCCTAGGTGTAAAGACGCAAGGTATGAGACACGCTGATGTTTTTTTCATTGCAGTACACTAGGGACTTATTACCAGTGCCTGTACGATACGACAGATACTACCGGATGCGGGGGTTCTAAGACCATCAAAACACTGGTTGAGGACCAGGCAACGCATGAAACAGATTTACCGTGCAGTGAGTTCAACTGTATCTTGTTGATGTCGACTGAATTAAGTTTACTCTTTTTCGATTTGGTGGGTTTTAGATAAGATACAAATTAGACCCTGGAGAGCTGATTGGTGTAGATAAATACAGATTAACTTTGGAGAGCTGGTGTGTGAAGATAACATGCAAATTAAAGTTTGAAGAGCTGGCGGGTAAAGATAGAATACGGGTAAACCTTTGCGAGCTGATAGGCATATATAAACCACAGATGACCTTTTTGGAGAGCTGGTGTGTGAGGATAAAAGACAGGTAAACCTTTGAGATTTGACGGTTAAAGATAAAACACAGGTAAACCTTTGAGATTTGACGGTTAAAGATAAAAGACAGGTAAACCTTTGAGATTTGACGGTTAAAGATAAAATACAGGTAAACCTTGTAGAGCTGACGGGTAAAAAAAGATGAACCTTTGAAGAGCTGGTGTGAGAAGATAAAATACAGTCAAATCTTGGAGACTTGGTAGGCACTTATAAAATGTATGAACCTTTAGAGAGCTGGTGGGTTAAGATACAATTCTGGTTATATCTTGGAGAGTTGATAGGTGTAGGTAAAGTCCTGGTTAATATTGGAGAGTTGGTAGGTGTAGGTAAAATCCTGGTTTAATCTGGGAGAGTTGGTAGCTGGAGGTATAATCCTGGTTAAATCTTGGTTAACATTGCTTACATGCAGATAAAATAAAAATGTGTCAGTTCGATTTGCCTTTGATCTTCACCACACGCCAATATTCTGGCATCAGCATATTCTTCACAGAGAGCACCTCAGCAATCGTGACGTCACAGTCCGAGAAGCGTCAATTTTCAATCTCAAAACTATCCCTGAAAGCCTGTGACACGCACGTTGTACATTTTCATCACGTTTTCTGTCCAAAGTATACACACATACTTCGTTCGTTGTAGGAAGAGCAGATTAGAATTTGTAATCTATATTCAAACCTGTTTACCAACCACGAGGAACGCATATTTGTGAAATATTCGGTAATGCGTGCGTCAAATTGACTCTATTGTCATGGGTGTTATTTTTTATTTGAAACCATAGATTAACCTATCAGAATGTTTGTTTTCAATGGTGATGTGTGAATCAATAATTTCCTCATTTGTAATGTTGGGTACCGCCAGGACATGATTTCGTGGTACAAGGGGCGGAGGGGAAGGAAATTGGTTAAAGCGTTTGCTCGTCACGCCGGGATAATGCTAGAGTATTGTTAAAAACGGTTAAAAAACCGACCCACTCACTAAATGTGCTACAAGCTTGATCTAAAATATCGTCTATTCTCTCATATGTATTCGATTTCAGCCCTTGAAGACGTGTGCCAATGTCAGGTCAACTTCATGAAGTCGTCATCTGTCCTGTGCGAGTGAGTATTTCCCCCTCTTTCTAGGGATAAAAAAGTACAGAAAACAGACATTGAAATTATGTAATTAATTTTGACATGACAACAAACGATTAATCCATGCTGATTTACTCGATTTGTATGGTAAATATAACGTTGTGGTGTTGTTGTGATCTTGTTAATTTTACTATTTAAAAATGTTTGCCTTTTAAATGAATCGAATGAAATTTTAGGGAATAATGTTGGCATATGCGCGGTAGTGTATATCAATATAAAGTGTGCTATCCTCGGAATTACACCCAGAGATAATTATCAGTCCCACTGTATTTATCATTGTGCCAGTAGCTTCAGATGCAAATATTGACACATTTTTGCCAAATAATATTAAATGACGTTATTATTTCTTTAATGATATTTTAACACATTAAACACCACTGTGACTAAGGTCGGGCAAATGAAGCATTTTGTTTTTTTGGTAGACAGATAAGATCAAATTTAGAAATTAGTTCAACCGATGAAAAACTATTAATTCATTCATGACTATTAGCTGAAGTATTTGTGACTTGATACAGTTCTCTGAAAGTAGTGATGAACTGCCTCTGGGCGTGCTCCTCTACAGCCTGTGATGGAACTGCCAAGAGAAACAGCGTGGCCACAACAGCTAATGCAAAAATAGATCCAACTTGTACAGGATGTGAGTATAAATCATTGTTTTAGGCATGAAAATACTGTGATGCCAGTGCGTAGTCATGTCCGTTGAAGGAACTATTAAGCTAACACAAAATGAGAGGCGACAATGCTGGTAGTTGTAGAATCTATTAAGCTAACACAAAATGAGAGGCGACAATGCTGGTAGTTGTAGACACTATTAAGTGAACACAAAATGAGAGGTGACAATGCTGGTAGTTGTAGACACTATTAAGTGAACACAAAATGAGAGGTGACAATGCTGGTAGTTGTAGACACTATTAAATTAACACAAAATGGGAGGTGACAATGCTGGTAGTTGTAGACACTATTAAGTGAACACAAAATGGGAGGTGACAATGCTGGTAGTTGTAGACACTATTAAGTGAACACAAAATGGGAGGTGACAATGCTGGTAGTTGTAGACACTATTAAGTGAACACAAACTGGGAGGTGACAATGCTGGTAGTTGTAGACACTATTAAGTGAACACAAAATGGGAGGCGACAATGCTGGTAGTTGTAGACACTATTAAGTGAACACCAAACTATTGGTGATAATGCTGGTAGTTGTAGACACTATTAAGTGAACACCAAACTATTGGTGATAATGCTGGTAGTTGTAGACACTATTAAGTTAACCCCAAAATGGGAGGTGACAATGCTGGTAGTTGTAGACACTATTAAATTAACACAAAATGGGAGGCGACAATGCTGGTAGTTGTAGAATCTATTAAGCTAACACAAAATGAGAGGCGACAATGCTGGTAGTTGTAGACACTATTAAGTGAACACAAAATGAGAGGTGACAATGCTGGTAGTTGTAGACACTATTAAGTGAACACAAAATGAGAGGTGACAATGCTGGTAGTTGTAGACACTATTAAGTGAACACAAAATGAGAGGTGACAATGCTGGTTGTTGTAGACACTATTAAGTGAACACAAAATGGGAGGTGACAATGCTGGTAGTTGTAGACACTATTAAGTGAACACAAAATGGGAGGTGACAATGCTGGTAGTTGTAGACACTATTAAGTGAACACAAAATGGGAGGTGACAATGCTGGTAGTTGTAGACACTATTAAGTGAACACCAAACTATTGGTGATAATGCTGGTAGATGTAGACACTATTAAGTTAACCCCAAAATGTGAGGTGACAATGCTGGTAGTTGTAAACACTATTAAGTGAACACAAAATGGGAGGCGACAATGCTGGTAGTTGTTGACACTATTAAGTCAACACAAAATGAGAGGTGACAATGCTGGTAGTTGTAGACACTATAAAGTGAACACAAAATAAAGGTGACAATGCTGGTAGTTGTTGACACTATTAAGTCAACACAAAATGAGAGGTGACAATGCTGGTAGTTGTAGACACTATTAAGTGAACACAAAATGAGAGGTGACAATGCTGGTAGTTGTAGACACTATTAAGTGAACACAAAATGGGAGGTGACCATGCTGATAGTTGTAGACACTATTAAGTGAACACAAAATGAGAGGTGACAATGCTGGTAGTTGTAGACACTATTAAGTTAAACAAAATGGGAGGTGACAATGCTGGTAGTTGTAGACACTATTAAGTGAACGCAAAATGAGAGATGACAATGCTGGTAGTTGTAGACACTATTAAGTTAAACAAAATGGGAGGTGACAATGCTGGTAGTTGTAGACACAATTAAGTGAACACAAAATGAATTGTGACAATGCTGGTAGTTGTAGACACAATTAAGTGAAC